ATGGTGGATAACAGTCAATTACTGTAATTAACATTTAATGCTGTTTGGGATGGAGGGTGATGGGCATTGGTGGGCTGAAGAAATCAAGGTCAAAATAGACGGAACAAAATATCGAAACACATGAAACACTTGTATGATGAGATTGGATGGATCTGCTCCATACCTCGTGAGCACAGGTCACGGCTGTTGACTGCGACGGGGCTAGCTTGGCACAACTGCGACAGCGGGAGGACAAGGTGAAGATTGTGCAGATGGACTTGGAGGAGGCACTGGCATGCTGAGCGATGGCAGCCGTGATAGTGAAGCCATGTCGGATGAATTGCACTTAATCAGTTAAGTGTATAATTAATGTTGGATCCTGATTAGTGTGGGGATCCCCCCCCCAAACAATTCTGAGACTCTCTTTAGTGTGGAAATTTTCAAATGCACGGGTCTGAATAGTGTAAAATAAAATTACTTTACTTCGTGTGATCCCCACCATGACATTTATACATTTTCTTACTGGCAAATCTTCTGGCATTCTATCTGACATATCTTCTGACATTCTATTTGGCATTCTATCTAGCATATCTTCTGGCATTCTATCTTCTGGCATTCTATCTGGCAAATCTTCTGGCATTCTATCTGGCATATCTTCTGGCATTCTATCTGACATATCTTCTGGCATTCAATCTGGCATTCTATCTGGCATATCTTCTGGCATATATTCTGACATATCTTCTGGCATTCTATCTGACATTTCTTCTGGCATATATTCTGACATATCTTCTGGCATATCTTCTGGCATATCTTCTGGCATATCTTCTGGCATATCTATCTGGCATATCTTCTGGCATATTTTCTGGCATTCTATCTGGCAAATCTTCTGGCATTCTATCTGGCATATCTTCTGGCATATTATCTGGCATTCTATCTGGCATATCTTCTGGCATATATTCTGACATATTTTCTGGCATTCTATCTGGCATTCTATTTGGCATTCTATCTGGCATATCTTCTGGCATATCTTCTGACATTCTTTCTGACATTCTTTCTAACTTTCTTCTGCGCATTCTTTGTCCCATACCTTCCTACATGAGGTCCGGCAGGGAACACTTGGCGTGGATACTCGCGGTTGAGGTCCGGCAGGGAACACTGGGCGTGGATGGTCGTGGTTGAGGTCCGGCAGGAACACTGGGCGGGGATGATCGTGGTTGAGGTCCGGCAGGGAACACTGGGCGTGGATGGTCGTGGTTGAGGTCCGGCAGGGAACACTGGGCGTGGATGGTCGTGGTTGAGGTCCGGCAGCGAACACTGGGCGTGGATGGTCGTGGTTGAGGTCCGGCAGCGAACACTGTGGATCGCGAGTCGCAGTTGAGCAGGAGGACGAGGAGGACAACGAGACGAGGAGGACAACGAGACGAGGAGGACAACGAGAGGAGGAGGACAACGAGAGGAGGAGGACGACGAGAGGAGGAGGAGAGGAGGAGAGGAGGCAGGCAGGAGGAGAAGGCAACTTCGATAAAATCTAACAACCCTCACCTGGCAGGTGGGGAAAAAATGATAGATTTCAATTGATTTCAATTTACTTTCAATTGATTTTCAATTGATTTCAATTTACTTTCAATTGATTTTAATTTACTTTCAATTGATTTCAGTTTACTTTCAATTGAAACAATTGATTTTCAATTGATTTCAATTTATTTTCAATTGATTTTAATTTACGTTGAATTGATTTCAATTTACTTTGAATTGATTTTCAATTGATTTTCAATTGATTTCAAATTACTTTCAATTGATTTTAATTTACTTTCAACTGATTTCAATTTACTTTCAATTTACTTTCAATTGATTTTAATTTACTTTCAGTTGATTTCAATTTACTTCGAATTGATTTCAATTTACTTTCAATTTACTTTGAATTGATTTCAATTGATGTCAACTTACTTTCAATGGATTTTCATTTGATTTCAATTCAGTTTGAATTTATTTTCAATTGATTTCAACTTACTTTCAATTGACATCCGAAAGTAACCCCATAGAAGTATCATAGAAATATTATGGAACTGCCATAGGAACATCACAGAAATCCCATAAGAATCTCATCGAATTCCTTCAGGAACCCCATAGTAATCTCATAGAAATATCATAGAAACATCATGAAAATCCCATAGGAATCCAATGGAAATCCCATAGACATCCTTTTGAAACCCCATAGGAATCCCATAGAATACCATTGACACCCCATAGAAATCCCATAGTAATCCGAAAGAAATATCATAGAACCACCATAGAAATTCCAAAGAAACTTCATGGAAACCCCACAGAATTTCCAAAGAAATCCTCTAGAAATATCATAGAAGTACCATAGAAATCCTATGAAATCCTTTTTAAATCCCATAGGAATCCCATAGAAATGTCATAGGAATCAATTGGAAATATGATAGAAATATCATGGAAATCCCATAGGAATCCCACAGAAATCCCATAGAAAGATCAAGATATAACATGGAAATAGCATAGGAACCACAAAGAAATCCCATAAGAATCTCATAGAATTCCTTCAGGAATCCCATAGTAATCCCATAGAAATATCATAGAAGCATCATGGAACCCCATAGGAATCCCAAAGATATCCCATAGAAACATCATAGACATACCATAGAAATCCCATAGGAATCCAATGGAAATCCCATAAGAATACCATAGAATTCCCATAGCATGCATTCAGAAATCTCAGAGAGATATCATAGAACCACCAGGGAAGTTCCATAGAATGCTATAGGAATCCCATAGAAATCCAATAGTAACCTCATAGAAATATCATAGAAATCCAAAAGAATTTTCATGGAAATCTAACAGAAATCACAGAGTAAACCCATAGAAAAATCATAGAAATACCATAGAGATCCCATAGGCACCCCTCTGAATTCCCAGAGAAATTCCAAAGAACAACCATGGAAAACCCATAGAAATCACACAGAAATCCAATAGAAATCCCATAATAATCCCATAGAAATATCATAGAAATTAAAAAGAAATATCATGGAAATCCCAAAGGAACCCCACAGGAATCCAATGGAAATCCCATAGGCATCCTTTTGAATCCTTTTGAAACCCCATAGGAATCCCATAGAAATACCATTGACACCCCATAGAAATCCCATAGCAATCCGAAAGAAATATCATAGAACCACCATAGAAATTCCAAAGAAACTTCATGGACACCCCATAGAATTTCCAAAGCAACCCGCTAGAAATATCATAGTTTTTTTTTAAACCATAGTAATCTCATAGAATATCGTAGAAATCCAAAAGAAATATCATCGACATCCCAAAGAAATCCCATAGAAATACCACAGAAACACCATAGGAATCCAAAGGAAATCCCATAGACATCCTTTTGAAACCCCATAGGAATCCCACAGAACTACCATAGACACACCTTTCGAAACACCATAGAATATCATAGAAGCACCGTAGAAATTACATAGAATTTCCACAGAAATTTTGTCAAAATCCCATAGAAACACCATAGAAACCAAGGAGAGGATGCCAGGAGAATTGAACTAAGTAAAAGACAAAAACTATAGCAAAGGAAAGGAAAAGGACAGGAGAAAATAATTTTGGAAAAAAATACTTTCAAAAAAAAGCTGGACACAATAGATCTAGAGGACCACCACAACAAACATACTATTGAGGATCAGGATTGCTCATGGACTACCACCTTGAAAAATTGTTTCAGTGCTGTTTTTTTAATTGGGTTTTAATAAGGCATCCTATATTTTGGGAAATTAAACATTTTGAGACTTCCAAAAGAATGGAGCTAAGAAAGTAATTACTTTACTTCGTGTGATCCCCACCATGACATTTATACATTTTCTTACTGGCAAATCTTCTGGCATTCTATCTGACATATCTTCTGACATTCTATTTGACATTCTATCTGGCATATCTTCTGGCAAATGATCTGGCATATCTTCTGGCATATCTTCTGGCATTCTATCTGGCAAATCTTCTGGCATTCTATCTGGCATATCTTCTGGCATATATTCTGACATATCTTCTGGCAAATCTTCTGGCATTCTATCTGGCATATCTTCTGGCATATATTCTGACATATCTTCTGGCATTCTATCTGACATATCTTCTGGCATATATTCTGACATATCTTCTGGCATATCTTCTGGTATATCTTCTGGCATATCTTCTGACATATCTATCTGGCATATCTTCTGGCATATTTTCTGGCATTCTATCTGGCAAATCTTCTGGCATTCTATCTGGCATTCTATCTGGCATATCTTCTGGCATATTATCTGGCATTCTATCTGGCATATCTTCTGGCATATCTTCTGGCATATCTTCTGGCATTCTTTCTGACATTCTTTCTTTCTTCTGCACATTCTTTGTCCCATATCTTCCTACATGAGGTCCGGCAGGGAACACTTGGCGTGGATACTCGCGGTTGAGGTCCGGCAGGGAACACTGGGCGTGGATGGTCGTGTTTGAGGTCCGGCAGGGAACACTGGGCGAGGATGGTCGTGGTTGAGGTCCGGCAGGGAACATTGGGCGTGGATGGTCGTGGTTGAGGTCCGGCAGGGAACACTGGGCGTGGATGGTCGTGGTTGAGGTCCGGCAGAGAACACTGTGGATCGCGGGTCGCAGTTGAGCAAGGACGACGAGGACGACGAGGACGACGAGGACGACGAGGACGACGAGGAGGACGAGGAGGAGGAGGAGAGGAGGAGAGGAGGAGGCAGGAGGCGGAGGAGAAGGAGGAGGCAACTGACATAAAATCTAACAACCCTCACCTGGCAGGTGGGGAAAAAAGAGAAAGTATTAGCAAATGAAAGGAAAAGGAAAGGAGAGAATGATTTTGGAAAAAATACGTCCAACAAAAAGCTGGACACAATAGAGGGCCACCACAGCAAACACATTATTGAGGATCAGGGTTGCTCATGGACTACTCCGTTGAAACATTGTTTGAGTGCTGTATTTTTTAAATGGGGTTTTAATAAGGCATCCTATATTTTGGGAAATTAAACGTTTTGAGACTTCCAAAAGAATGGAGCTAAGAAAGTAAAAAAGAGAAACGTAATTAGCAAAGGAAAGGAAAAGGAAAGGAGAGAATGATTTTGGAAAAAAAATACGTCCAAAAAAAAGCTGGACACAATAGAGGGCCACCACAACATACACACTATTGAGGATCAGGATTGCTCATGGACTACCACCTTGAAACATTGTTTGAGTGCTGTATTTTTTAATTGGGTTCTAATAAGGCATCATATGTTTTGGGAAACTAAACATTTTGAGAATTCCAAAAGAATGGAGCTAAGAAAGTAAAAAAGAGAACAGTATTAGCAAAGGAAAGGAAAAGGACAGGAGAGAATGATTTTGGAAGAAACAATACGTCCAAAAAAAAAACTGGACACAATAGAGGGCCACCACAACATACACACTATTGAGGATCAGGGTTGCTCATGGACTACTCCCTTGAAAAATTGTTTGAGTGCTGTTTCTTAATTGGGTTTTAATAAGGCATCCTATATTTTGGGAAATTAAACGTTTTGAGACTTCCAAAAGAATGGAGCTAAGAAAGTAAAAAAGAGAAAAGTAATTAGCAAAGGAAAGGAAAAGGAAAGAAGAAAATTATTTTGGAAAAAATACTTCCAAAAAAAGCTGGACACAATAGAGGACCACCACAACAAACATATTATTTAGGATAAATATTGCTAATGAAAAAAACTGAAACAATTGAAATCAAAATTTCTTCAGACAACAGTTGGACAGATAGAGGACCACCACAACAAACATATTAATCATTTAGGATCAATATTGCTCATGAAAAAAACTGAGAAATATTAAAAAAAACTGAAAAATATAAGAAAAATAAAAAACATAAAACATGCAATAAATTAAACAACAAATTTAAACATAAGTTAAAACAATTTAACAATTCAAAAAAAAAAGAAAATACACCAAAAACATTTTTCAACAAAACCGACCCACCCAATCACTAATCAGGATCCCACATTAATTAATTTGCATGGCTGGGATGATTAACAGCATTCACAGTTCCCTATGAGTGATGCTGTCGCGAGCCACTCACTCACAAAGAAATGAAGCACCGGAGCACACCGGAGCCATTTCTCAAGAAGGGACTATATCTACTAGCTGCCCCTCTTCAGACCCAGTGCTTTCAAAACCCACAAAGGCCTAGTCTCTGTACACTGTTGCTAGGACAGTTGAAAGCCAATGGCAGGGATTGGCAGGGAACTGTGTGGATGCTGACATGAGAAGTTCACACAGCGACCCAAAAAACGCAGACGGAAGAGCACACAAACCAACAGCAGCTACAGCAAGACTCGATTCGGGGATTTGGACTTTGCAATCGTTTGAACGCACCATGTGGGTTTGTGCCAAGCTCATGGACCAAGAGTATCACTGTATCACTATGTATCACTCCAAAGGGTCCAAAACATGCAAAAAGTTATAAAAAGTTAAACGATGTTAAACGGTTTGATTTGCCGTCCTTGTTTGATCTTGGCTGCAGGCAGGAACCTCCTTGATGTCCTTGGGCCACTTTGATGTGCTGTTGGTAGCCTGGTTCCCAGATCGAAGGTTTGGGCTCCAAAACTACCGACCACTCTGACCACTCCTCACCACCTGTCTGATCTGTCTGGCCACTTTTTGGTCGCAATTCAGGTGAACTTTGCTTGCAGATCTCTGCTCCCAAAGCAGCTCGAAGAGATTCGGCTTGCCTTCTAACAGATTTTTAACATGCTCTTAAAATCAACACATTCCCAAGCAACACACTGACGTGACTGATGCTGAGGCTTCCCAAGCTCCTGAAGGATGATGGGATCTTCATCTTTGAATCATGGGCTCAAGGCAACGAGAGCTATGCCACTCCCAAAGATGCCAAGGACGGGACATCGATGAGTGGCTGCTTCTGCAGTTCTTGGGATGGATTGAAATCAGCTGAAATCAACCAGAGGTGATGATGGTGATGCAGAACTATGCAGAACTGCTGCAGACTCTACGAGTTACTCTTGTTTTGATTTTGGTGCCGGACAGGCATTGCAAGGGCTGCTTCGTCCCAACGAGTTATTGGAGGCGACGGCAGACTTCACTGTGCCCCTTGCCAAGGAATGACCTATGGCATCTATGGACCTACGGTGATCTTTGTAGATTTTGTAGGCACCTGGCATGTGAAGGTTTTCAGCACTCACTGTTTGGGCTGACTGACTTAGATGTGTGTTCATGATTGTTCATATGTGTTCTGTTCTCTTCTTCTCACAATACTGGACCTATTGTGCTTTGAGACAATTTTGTGCTTGCCTCAAGCAAGGCCTGAGATTCTGCTTGGAATCTAGATGAATCTAGGTTGGCCTATGCACATGGACTTCAAGAAGGCTACGAGGGCAGGGACTGCGTCAAGCAAATGATCTGCTGCAAGAAAAACCCGCAACCAGGAGATACTGGCTGAGATGAGTGATTTTGGTTGATACCCGCAGGTAACCCAACTCGGTGAGCCCCATGTTCTGGAAACAGATTGAATAAGGGCAATTTGCAGTATTTTCATTTAATTTACTCTGCTGGAATGGATGTTCCTTTCCATTGCCAGATGTTGCTAGGTTAAATGGCCAAATGATATTTCAAGAATCGTCAGGATACTTCAACTTTCTTCGGAAGTTTCTTGGAAGCGGCTCCGAGTTCCCATGTCTCCTGAGGACCTCATGGACATGTCGTGTGTCCTTTGGCGCGTTTGCTGAGTGGCGATGCAGCCTTCTTGGAGGACGGGTCTGTTTGCTACACTAGCATTACATGTATTACATTACCATCATGACCTTCATGATCTTCATGGTCACCGAGAATTTGCTTGGATTCCTGGATTGTGTAGATGTAGTCTTCACCCTGCAGGATGCAGCCTTTGGTAAAAGCTGGGTCCACAGCGTTCGTGCGGCTTTAGAGCTTGACTTCGGCATTGAGGACAGTGGGGACATTGGACAGGAGGGGCTGATCTGCCCGACCGGTTTCTCGCAATGCAATATAATATGTATAAGGCAAATCCTTCTGGACGCCCTAGCAAAAAATAGACTAATTGATGCCACCAACAGCAGCCCTGACGTCGGATGTTTCCAGATGACATCATAATCATATCATATTACATCATATTCGACATACATAGCCTCTAGGAAATAAGCATGTAATATGGTGAATCGTGATGAGCCGGGCCTCTGAGGAGCTCCTGAATCTGTTGGTGGGATACGACCCTGCCACAGCACGGAAGGAGTATTTGGCCTGGAGACCTAGATTCTGACAGGGGACAAAACCGACGAAGATCAGTGCTGACGATGTCCGGGGATCAAAACTTGAACCCTACCGGAAACATAGATTTTGGTCAATGTCCGAGATAACCATCGCAATTAATTTGAACTTGAACTGATTCAGTCCAAAGTTACTTCCAAGCAGCATAAGCAAAAGCCTTTGAATAAGCCGTGCCATAATAAGCCATAAACCTCTCCGTTTTGGATATCATCCTCCAGCCTGTAATCCGTTGCAAACATGGTGCAACGTTTAAAGTAAGGCAAGCCAATTGAACATGTGTGTTTCTCCTACTTGGGGTTTTCGAAACAGCTGGACACCAACTTAAGCAGGGTTCATTTTGCCTTGTTATGAGAGATGGATCAATTGACCAAAGCCAATCTGCAAACTGTTGCTGTTCTTTGAGTCAAGTAGTCAAGTAGTGCCTACCATGGCAAACATTTCACTCCAGTCAGGTTCTGAGGCTATCAGCTATCACTTTACGATATGCCTGAGGAATCTTCTTTCACCTTTTTGCGGAATGTGTGGGCAAATGTGAATTACACATGATTTCTGTACATGCATAGTCATACAATGCAGTGTATTTGATCGTTGTGCATCCTTATGTTTGTATTTGTTTTCCTGAATTTCTTTGTCATATTTTGGCATATTTTGACACTGGTGATGTATTTTGGTTGTTTTGGTTCAGACTTTACTCATTCCGTTACTGGTGATTGGCTTTGCCACCAGGGCTTGGCATTTGCTCAGCCGATGGCGTGGCTGTGCCTGCTCCTCACTTTCATATATGCAGATGTTGCATGGGCAGCATCAGCGGATCTCGGCTGTGAAGCCTCCAGGGATTCCAAGGCTGTCAACATGTTGCAGAAGGCGGCAGTCCCGGCAGTCCCGGCAGTCCAGGCGGTTGTCGATTTGAAGCAAGTCATGTGGCTGAGCAGTGTGTCTTTGGCTTCGGCTTGCACCAGTCGCGAGGCCTACCTGGAACAATATGAAGTTGCACTGCTCTCATGGAAAGAGACCAACAATTCAGCCTTTGATCCACATCTCTTGGTACATCTTCCTGCAAATGTGACAGACAGTTTGCCAAAATCCATTCAGATGCGTTTAGACCGATTTAAGCATATGGGTGTCCATGTGGTTTTCCACAGCTTATCCTTCATGGATGCTTTGAAGAAGAACCTCCATGACATGCGACCAACGGACGATCTCGATGCCGACTGTGTAGCAGCATCTTTTCTCCGGCTGGAACTCCCAAAAACGATATCCCAAAGGAAATTGTTGCGACCACATCACAATCAGGACTACGTACTTTGGACCGACTGCGATATCATGTGGTGGCGCACAGTGTCAATGAGTGAGTTCTTGTCAAATGTCCCAACGCATAAGTTTTCGTTGGCCTTTTCGGGGCAGGCTCTCAAGGAGCATAGTCCAGTCAACGCTGGAGTGATGCTAATGGATTTAAAGAATTACCAGCAGGACATGCCCAAGCTTCTGGCATCCATCACTACCACTGAACACAAACCCGGTTTGGACCAGGCCGTTGTCTATCGGTTCTATGAAGAGCACCCGGGTCTTTCTGGTTGGTCGGTGATTTGGAACTATCGGATGTTTTGGAATGGCCGTGAAGCAGTGGCGATTGTTCACTACTGGGGTCTTAAGCTCTCGGCCGGTTTGGACTGCTGGATACACCGAAGGTCCTTGGTGGGATGCCCGCCCATTGAGAAAGGGCTGATTCCCGATGATCGACGGCTGCAGTTTCAGAAGCAGGCTTTAGACATTGCAATGAGGGAAGATCACAAGCTGATCTTTATGAAAAAGGCACTCCAGAGATACAAGAAATATTCCCTGGCGGCAAAGGAGGACGCCTTGGGAAAGTGACACTGAAGCACCTCTGCAGGCATCAGCTGGGTGGATCTGAGTGGTGTCCGCAGCAGCAAAATGGCGCATGTTGTTGTTTCCAGGTTGACCCATGCTGATCGTGACTGGAGCTACGCCGTAAAAGGTTTAGTTTAATCAAACAAGTCATGAAGAAATGGAATGTAGATAGCCAAAAATTTCTAGTATTTTCTAGTTATCCCTCACGAAGACAGACCACTACAGACTCATGAAAATGCAACCTAGAAACCCAAGATGAGGACAAATTCAAGTTCCATTGAATGTCAATCATCTCAGGGTCACAGCCATCCATGGCCATTTGGGAACTTCATTGATCTTCAATATCAGTCCCCCAAGGCACGAATGGGATCTTCAGCGTCGCGACCAGCTTTGTGGGATGTTGTACTGGTGCGGCGAACTGAGGGTCGTACGGAGCCGCTGGGGATGGTGCTGGTGGACCTAAACAGATTAACTGAAAACATTCCAAAAAAATCCAGGCCCCAAATGTGTTTGGGACATTTCGGCTCGTTCCAAGTTTTGGTCAGGGTAAAGCCGAGCTAAATAGCAGCTAAGCTAAACAAGTTGTTACTCAAAGTGGGCAGGCTTTAGTTGTGAATATGCATTGCTGCGGTGGTATGTGAGCTTTAGTTGAAAGCATCAGCTGCTTTGGCTTTAGTTAGCTTCAGTTGCCATGGAGAACAGATTGGCAGGAGTCCATGAAGCCTGAAGAGGTCAAGGAGTTCCTCAGCAAAACTGATCTGAAGACCAAAGCTGATGTGTTGAAGAGAGGAGAAGGCAGCGGCATGGCTCGCAAATATGTGATAGGGTATCAGGGAGACCACGGGAGGAAGGAACAACATTGAAAACGCGGACTGGAAAGATATGTTTTCATCAGATGCGAAGAGCTGCAAAAAGTAAAGGCATTTGACATTGACACATCGGACAATGGGTTTGCGTGCCTTGCTTCCCTGAATTCCGCCCCATGGCCAAAATGAAGCCCAGATGTCGAGAGAGGATCATGCTGCAGAATGCATTGGATTATATTCGCATATATTGGAATGTAATGCGTACGCGTACATATATACATTATAAACCTATGCATGCATGCATGCATGCATACACATACATACACATACACATACACATACACATACACCTACACGTACACGTACACGTACACGTACACATACACATACACATACACCACATACACATACATATACATACATGCATACATATTCTCATATATCGGAAAGGACTGTTGTGAGCGGTGACTTTCATGCTTTGGGAGTAGACATTCAATGAAGAAAGCCATGCACACAATACTGTAGTTCCTTCTGTATGTAGGCTATCAACCGGTCTGTTCTGACTGTCGGCTACCACATGTCTCTTCGCAAAAACATGTGTTTGGCACTGCGACACTCTGGTTTGTCTCACTTCCATTTAAGATTAATCCGGTTCAATCAGATTTATGGCATAAGCACTTATTTTTTTTTATGGCATAAGCGCCTAATTTTTATGGCCTAAGCACTTTTTATGGCAAAAACGCGAAGCTTTCAAGCTGTTGGGGATCCGGGATAGCACCTGAGTTTATTTTTTGGTAGATTTTGTAGTGAAATTATTTAAAGCTAGCAATACCGGTTCATATGCCTACGACAAAAAGGGTCAACATCTGCTGGCTACGAACCCAAAATTTTGATAAAACATTTTAGTGCCAAGAAAAGAAAACCACTTTTTACGTAGTGGTTTAAAAGAGGAAATGTGTGGGACAGACTTGGTTTCAACATCAATCAATCTTTTTCACAAAAAACCTTTTACACAGAGAAGCCTTTGCACAGAGAAGCTTCTACACACAGCAAGCTTTGACACAAAGAAGCTCCTACACAGAAAGGCTTTTACACACAGAAAGCTTTTGCACAGAAGCTTTTACACAAAGAAGCATTTACACAGCTTTTACACACAGAAGCCTTTACTTACATAGCTTTTACACACAGCGAGCCTTCACGCAGAGAAGCTCCTACACAGGTCAGCTTATACAGTATCCGGAACCTGATCTACCTCCTCGCGGTGGGTACGGACTTCGTATCATTGCGAGGCACGAAGAGGTCAGGACTGTCATTCAGTCGTTGCAAACTGGTATTCTGCCTGATGTTCCTGATGTTTGGATCAGCTAGCGCATCTGAATGCTCTGCATCTGATCCAACTGTGACAAGTTTCGATTATTCATTTCAGCAAAGCCTTCTTGAATATCTCGTGACCCTTAGTGTAATCGTTGCACTACTAATCCCTGCACTGTATGTGCTGCATGCACTTGCCGTGACAGCAGTAAACTTCATGTGTGTTTGCTCTGGGTTTTGCTTTCACACGCTGAAGCGCTGCCTGTGCCGCTGTCCTGCTCTGATCCCATTGGTGGGATGCACTACATGTTTTGCTGCGAACACGCCTGTTCGTGAGCTGGTGGGTGTTGCTTGTTTTTGCCTCTCATTCACCTGCAGATGCCTGATCGGTTCGATCGAGTCCCTCTTGTCTTTTGCCTTGCCCAGTCTGGCTCCAATGCGTGTCATGTGCATTGCCGGATTTGGGTTAGCTGCTGCCGGTCACCTGGTCTCTTGGTACCTTTCTCCAAAAGTCTGTGCCAAGCGAAGAGTGATGCTGATGTGCCGTAAAATTGGACTCCATAGATATCGCCAGTGCAGACGTGCATCTTGGAGCCCACATCGACTGTGCCATGCCGTTGATCTTGTCGAATATCAAATCCATATGAGCCATGTCAATGCGTACTTTCACAGCCTTCATGAGATGCACCATTTGCGTGGTGGGGGAGGAGGTGGAGGTGCGCATGTCACCAAACGCAAAAGGAACCAAAAAGAACTTTTGCTTGGACTGAAAGAGCTACTTGAGAAATTTACAGAGCCAAATGAAAAGGTATCTCCAAAGAAATCTAAGAAATCCGACACGCTCCTTGATGCCCTTCAGAAAACGGTCACGCGTGCTCAGCAGAATCCACGGAACTTGCTGCAATCTTTGACACAGCTGGTTCAACTTGCCAATGATGGAAAGATCCGAATTGATGATCCTGCACTTGCCAGTGGGCCGAATAAACAACCAAAACCGGCTGCACCAAAATCGATCCCCAAACAGCAGAATCCCAAGCCAACATGGGCGGATAAGGTTAAATCAGGCACTCCGCCCAATGAGAGTGCGCCTGCTATGCGCCTGTGGACACCGCCCGATACTCGTGAATCTATTGCCGCTGTCATTCAGATCCGACAGACACTTGAAAACGGTCATCGACCAACTGCCAGCCTTGTGGCAATGACGTATGACAAGCCATCGACATCAAAATGCTGGTTCAAGCTCATGAACTCACTGACATCAAAGTTGCCGCCGTTTTACTCTCGATAGCCTCGAGAAAAAATGGGTCCACGTTCAGAAAAAGGGACACGGTCCTGAAATCATGAAATTCCCCGTCGTCCCCATTGGGAGCGAACTGCCTACTTTCCCATCATGCCAAGTGTCCGCTGCGGCACTCCCTGAGACACCGATCCATGCCGTGACCCTCCGGGTGACAATTCCCTTTGCTTCTGCCGCCATTCTTGGCGCCACTGCCAAAGCAAACCTGCGAACATCATCAGTGGCATGCTGCGTGATTATGATCTTCAACAAAACTTCATCACCAGCTATGGATGGCGCACCTTGCAGAGCCAGCAGTGGACAGGATATGCTGAAGCTGTGACCGGCTTCTTGAAGATTGATCGAAGCAATCTTGACAGCATTCTGAAAATCTCTGGAAAGCATGGGGTTTTCATTGAGCACCTAGCTCAGAATCGGCCAAGTGACAACATTCAGTGGATTCCACAGGAAAAGGACGAAACTGACATGGATTACTTTGCACGAGTGACTTCTGATGACCATGCCAACGGATTCACTTACCGTCGCCAAGGACGCAGCCGCTTGGGACTCCGAATGCCCGAAGGTACTGCCCCAACAAATGCCAACAAAGCCAAGGTTTGGGAAGCCAGAGGTGTCCCAGGCCAGTGGTCGACTGGAGTTTTGACAGCCTGGCTCAACAAACAAAAGTGCCAAGACATTTCTTTGATGAGTCAGCCGACAAAACAGCGCGGCTGGCTGTTCCGAGCCAGCCATCCGACCAACTCATTCTGTTTTGCCTACGAAAATGCCACTGGAGAGAACATCTGCATATCCCGATTCTTCCATCGTGTCAAGACCCCCAAGCAAACGCCGATCAGAGCAGCTGGCAAATCCATGGGCCATGCGAATTTTTGGCACAGCTTGAATGGTGACAAAGGGGTCTCAAAACCAAAAAATGCGATCGTTATCAATGACTCCAATCAAAATGATGAATCCATGCCGGAGGCACCGCCTCATGAAAACAAACCAGATACCGCTGGGACCGAAATCAAACGACCTGCGCCGCAAGGCAGTTCTCCAGAAAAGAAACGTGCCCATGTCCAGAAAACTGATCTTGACAACTCTGAAATTAACTTTCAAGGGTATGAATTTGCTGATGCCGGAGGGAACGGTGATTGTGGGTACCGTGCCCTCTCTGTTGCCTATGCAATCCAAGACGGTAGAGGTATTGATGATGCTTTGACTGCTGCCAAGCCAATGGGAGCAACTTTGCGAGCTCAGATCACCTCACACATCTCCAAATATGATCATTTCAAAGAGTTCTTTGCTGTGGATCCGCGCTGGACCGTTGAACTTGAGGGCGGACCAATTCCGACCACCTACTCCGAATGGGTGGAAGCCACTGCCCGTCCAAACAGGTGGATTGACGGCCCATGTCTTTCCACCGCTGCCACAAAGTTGCGCCGCAACATTGCCATTTGGAAATGGGAAAAGGATCAGTGGGTGAAACAAACCGTTATCACCCCGCTACCATCCCATCAACAAAACATGGAGGATGCCACCAAATATCCTCCTTTGCCACTGTTTCTAAAAGATGGCCATTATAGGACCTTGAAACCGGGCTTAGCCCATCGAATTCCAAGTGGGATGCTGGCAACAACAGAGGTGGAGGTAAGTCTGAAAATTCTTTCCGAAGCTGGTTGCCACCGCCCTCATCCCCTGCCAAATCGTATCGCAGCTGGCTGCCCCAATCATCCACAGCCAGCCCCAAAGCCAAAACTGCTGCCAAGTCTTACAAAAGCTGGCTCCCGCCCACCTCAGGACCTGCATCACCCGGCAGGGCCCAATCGAGACTCCCTCCGAAGAAAATTGCCAAGTGTGTAATGAAGAAATAGAAAGTTGCCAGTGTTGTTAAGAAATGTCGTGCTGAACATATTCGAGACTACCAAAAACGTCAATACAGTTGGAAATGCCCCGAATGTGATGCCTGCTTCAAGGGCACTTATGGCAGCGTCATGGGTAGCCGCAATTCCCATTGGAGAACAAAACATTCGGAATTTCCTATAACTGACATCCGTCGATCGGCTCCTACTGTCGTAGCTGTTGCTTATGACCTGCCTGAAAATCAAACTGCTTGGACATGCCCCCTTTGTCCAGCTTGACTGCCAAGCTTGTCCAGATATGACAGGACCAAAGCAATCCAAAAGCATATTGCAGATTACCACCAAGGTGAAACTCTGATGAGCCTTTGGAATCGAAACAGAACCTGCAGTTGCCAGCCATCAAATTAAAAAAATGCTGCCTTGCGTAAAAAGAAAGCTCGTGGTCACACCCCTGTTCAGGTTGTACCAACTGAGATGAATCTAAAACGCCGTGGGAACCTTTACTACTGTTCGAAGTGCTTGTCCAAAATTGAAAAAGGGAACAGTAATCATAATTGGGATCTCACATGCCGTCAGCACCTTCAAAAGCAAGCGAAGAAGGATGATCGCTACTGCCGGCTCAAGTCTGCCTGGTGGTTTCGACTGCAAGCCAAACAGCCGCAGCATGCCACCAACCTGTCAAAAGCTGTTGGTAAGACCTTTGATCAGATCACTGCCATTTTTGCAAAAGCCAAATGTTGAACTTCGAAGCGCGATTCGCCGCCTGGTGCGAACCCGCTGGACTGTTGGCATGTTGACTTGACTGCCCATGGGGACATCCACCCCCATCCGGGGCCTGATGTTCAGATCTGGTCGTGTAATTGCGGCCGTGGAACTGGTGCCATTGAGTTTTTTGAGCATGCTAGGAAAAGCCGCATTCCCATTCTTGCCATCCAAGAAGATGGCCTGAAACCTGGCGAGAGACAATACTTTCAACGCCATGTCAATAATTATCACTACCGGATGTTTGACGGGCCCAGCAGGATCCGCCATAAGAATGCATGGGGAGGGGTGATTATTTTAGTAGAAGCCAGCTTACGATGCCGCTTGATTGACCAACTAAGTGAAGATGAAGGCCAAGTTGTCACTGTCATGGTTGAAAACATAGCTATCTCTAATCTTTATCAACCCCCGCAGGAAAGCAGACTGCATGCATCATGCCATATTTTTGAAACCTTGCAGATCCTGCCGCCTGGCACCCCATGGATCTGCTTTGGGGACTTTAATGGTTGTCCTGACGAAAACGTTTTGCTCTTCGAAGATGATTCAATTGGATTGCAGTGTTGTTTTGTCAAAGATGCGCAAGGTGAAGCAGTTTCGTCTCGATGGTCGAGCAATAGATGCATCGACTATGCAGTAACTAACGCTGTGCACAATGTTCAACAAGTGCTCTATGACACTGAAGCCATCTCAGACCATAAAACCTTTTGTTGCACTTTCCAAATGCCGAGTCATTGCAAGCCGACTCCGATGTACCGCCTTACCAGACATGATGATTTGTCCAAACCTGAAACATGTTCACTTGAAGATTGGCATGCGGCCTGTTGCGATTTTTTGTCTTTAAATCCAGCACCGCCTGCACCAATTCACGGCACTCAACAGTCTATTGATGAGTACTGGTCCTGTCTCAGTGATCATTTCGAAGCTATGCTCCGCGCAGCTCGCAGATCGTTCCATGAACCTGATGTTAGAACAGTCACAAAAAAGGTAGGATTAAGTTTTCTAAAGGTCTTCCGACTGTTTACTGTAAACTTGACCAAGCCACTGACACTTTTCGTATTCGCCATTTACGAAACTTGCTTGTCAAACTGAGCGAATGCCGTAAACTTGAGACTCACGGTTGTCAAGGTTGTTTCGAACACAAATGCCTGTTAACTAAAATTGTTAAGTACCCCCTGTATGATAAGACTCTTTCATTAGACCAAAACATACAGAGTGTCCAATGCCAGTTGAAGCAGGAACGGATTTCCCAAAAGCAGACGCGTATCTCCCAATGGAAATCGAGACTTCAGCAGTCGTCTCGCCGATGTTTTCGTTGGCTGAAAAATCCTCATATCCAACCTTTCCGTGGTTTGATTTCCAGTGCCCTTGACCAAACAAATGCCACTAGCGATTACCCTGAATCCTTGTTGCTGATTCGGGATCACTGGAGACTGGTGTGGAAAAGAGAACCCCCTGATGCTGATGCAATTCTCGAGCGCATGCGCGAGGAACTTGCGCTTCAAAACCTACCCATTCATGATAGCGACTGGGATCCCTTGTGCCCGGTTGAAATTGCCATGAGAGCCAAATTTTTTGCTGGCAAAGCCGCAGGACCTGACGGCTGGTCAGGTAATGAGATTGCTACCATGCCAATTGCTGTTTTTGAAATTTTTGCAAAATTTTGTCAACTCTGTGAAGCATCTGGTTTGCTCCCAAGTACCTGGCAAATCGCTCGGCAGGCCCATTTGCCTAAGGGGCAGAAAGGTGTTCGTGCCCATGACAGTGCCCGAGATGTTTCCGGCCACTGACGTTGTTCAGCGCCTGGTATAGACTCTGTGTTTCTGCTAGGCTCAAATCTGATTCGTGCCAAAAATGGATCAGCACTTGGTGGCCCGCACAAGCTGCCGGAGGTAAGCAAGGCCGTGAACTCTATGATGCACTTTTTCCATTAATTGAGGCTGTCACTCAAGGTCAATTTGTTGTATCTTTAGACTTCTCCCTTGCCTTCGATTATGGTCACCCCGACATTGCCATTCCATTTCTCCATAATCTTGGATTGCCTATCAGTATTTGTTCCATGCTGCATAAGCAATGGACGAACCAACGCAGATACTTATCTTTTGAAAATTTCGTTTTGCCTGATGCTGAACTTGTCAGTTCTTCACTACCACAGGGTGACCCCTGGTCGCTGCTTGCGATGATTGCATTGTTGACACCAGCGACTTGGGAGATAGCTAGGAGACATCCGTCTGCCACTCTGAAAACATTTGTTGATGACCGTACATGGGCTACTCGGTCCGTGACAGAAGCCTTACAGATTGAAACAATTTGGGCCTCCTGGAGTCGTGACCTCCAGCTGAAAGAGAACATTGCCAAAAGCCAGTATTTCCACCCCCAACAGAAAGGCCGTAATGAATTTATTGACCGTGGGGTCCCTGTTAACCAAGTTTCTCATGACATTGTGGTTCTTGGTCACACATTCCGAGGTTTCCTTCAGCGGAAGATCTCACACAAAGAAGATGAACGGATCAACCAGGCGGTTGTCTTGATTCGTCGTGCCACTTGGTTGCCAGTGAGCTTTGCTATGCGCAAACAGATCATAGCTGCTGCTCCACTTTCTAAGGCCGAATTTGGTTGGATGCTTAAAGTGCCAACTTTAGCCATTTGTAAGAAAGTGCAAAATGCCATCAAGCAGGCTCTCCACGAGCCCTTATATGCCAGTCCCAATTTGCGAAACCTTTTACGTGGACAGATTGAACATTAATTTTCGTATTGCTCAATACTGCATTGGTGCTGTCCGCAGATGCCTTGCAAAATCAACCGCCAATGTGTTATATGCATGGCACAAGAGTTTTGGGGTTGGGCCCGCCATAACCCAACTCCTCAAATGTTTTTCATGGTCTTATCATAGCCCTTGGGTTTGGAAACATGATTTGACTAATGATTTTCTTGCATTGCATAAGGCACATCCATCGTATGAAGCATACACGGCCAGGCGCCGTGACGACTTGACATGCCATGTCTTGCGCAATAGCTTCCGTGCCCATGAATTCCAAGCTTGGAAAAACACTTCCAGAAAAGATGCCACATTTTGTCAAAATATTGACTATAATGCTGAGCGATGTAAACTCGCCGTTAATTTAGCCAAAAATTCCCGACACAATTTTGCCATCCTCTCTGGCGCTTTCGTCAGTGATGCTGCTTTAGCTGTCCATAAGAGGACCGCCGTGAAACCTTGTCCCTTTTGCAATTCTGCAACTGCCGATACTGATCATGCTTTTTGGACTTGTCGTGATTTTCCACCACCTGTCCCAAGACCCTTGGATTGCATGCTCAGACGACTTGGGTGGCCGCGAGTTGGCCATCCTAATGACACCGCTGTTGTTTCCTGGATGTGTGAAGTGCGAAAACGCACGCTTGACAAACGGCATCGGCCTGATGCCTAGTCTCTGAAACTTGTCCACCTGACGTGCTGGTACTCATATTGACGGGGGGGCTGCCTGCTCCCCCTATGATCGCGGTGGACGTCATGAATGGGCGCCATCGATGGAAAGTACATGGAAGCTTTTATACACAGAAAGTTTTTGCACACAGAAGCTTTTACACAGAAGCCTTTACACAGCAAGCCTTCACGCGGAGAAGCTTTAGCGAAGCTTTTACACGCAGCAAGCTTTCACACAGAGAATCTTTGACACACAGAAGCTTTTACACACAGCAAACTTTTCCACGCAGAATCCACCAGAATCCACCCGGCTCTCCAGGCTGACACTGGAAGTTCAGCGTTTGATGGCATATGCTGATTGAAGGGGAAGCCCAGCGCAACCCGCGGCCATGGAAGGTTCGATTGAGCCATTTGCATCTATTTGTGACGTGTCAACTCATTTGAGTGGTTTATGGATCGCAAGACTATCAGAACTAATCTCTGACCTTATCCTTGTTTCCAGTCCGTTCTCGGGATGCAACCAGGAAAGAGACCATCCACTTTGTTGCTTTTTTCACCCCCCCCAAAGCCGCGGAAACACCTGTGAACCAAATTAAACCAAGTGTTTGCAAACCATGTTAAGATGGTTTGGTCGGAAGCAGCCAGTTCAGCTGCCTGTGGGCCAAGTGGGCCAAGTGGGCTAAGTCCCAGCGGTCTGTGTATGTCTGCTTGAAAAAGTGATGGGCGGGCTCAGTTTTGCAGACCACGGCGTGATGGCCATGTGAGAAATACAGATGGTTGCTATGTCACATGGCTATGTATGGCTATGTCATCTAAATACGACGTTGTTTCAACAATCAATACCCCGGGGAACCCTCTAAAGGATGCAGCATTCCTTTTGCAAAAACACAATGTTCTTCCACGCAAGCAATACATATATCCCTTCAAATGGGCAATGTTCCTGTACCATATGCTGCGAGTTTTTCCTTTTGCAGCCGCCTTTCTTAATATGCAGAATTCACGTCAAACGCACCAACGTGACATTGTTCCTGGAACGAATCCTGTCAAAATGACTGTTCCTGCGTTTTGGAACAGTAGTGCTTTCCCAACACCTGTTTCTAGACTTCATGACGCTTTGCTGAGACGCCTTGGGTGGCAACGTCTGTGCCATCCACATGAGAGTGACATCGTTTCTTAGATGCATGCAGCGCGAACGCGCGCCATTTCCCATAGATATCAGCCAGCAAGATAGCTGTTCATAAATTTTCTACCGACCTGCTGTGCTGGCAGGTGCTTTCCCTTATCAGTGGGGACTTCGACCCCAGACCAATTCGGTGGAAGTCAGGAAAAATGTTGCAAAGCGAAACAACCAGGCCATGGGCCCGGCATTTTTTTAACATGACATGCAATCCTCCAACGGCTATGTTTCTAAGTGGTATTTTCCAAAGAATGCGATATTCGATCAAGAAAGTGTGGCCTGATTTCGTGCATTCCTTTTGAAAGATTACAATGCCTATGTGAAGAGCGGAGTAATAGTTTTTCAAAAACCTCCACGATGTAATTTTGAATGCAACACTGAAGCTCCCCCTGCTTGTAAAGAAGCATGTTTCATTCATTCGCAGTTTGTCTTTCAGATATATAATCCGTGCTGTGTCTATGTTATGTAAGTGTGTGACAGTGTGTGGCCTTGCTAGGCCTGCCGTTGCGCCTGGAAACTTTTGGCAGTGGCTCTCGGGGTCTGAGTGGTCACTAGCGGTCTGAGTTTAGCCCTGCGCTGCTGGTGTCTCAAAAAGCCTGTGGATTTGCATTTTGAGCACCAGAATCCACCCGGCTCTCCAGGCTGACACTGGAAGTTCAGCGTTTGATGGCATATGATATGCTGATTGCAGGGGAAGCCCAGCGCAACCCGCGGCCATGGAAGGTTCGATTGAGCCATTTGCATCTATTTGTGTCAACTCATTTGAGTGGTTTATGGATCGCAAGACTATCAGAACTAATCTCTGACCTTATCCTTGTTTCCAGTCCGTTCTCGGGATGCAACCAGGAAAGAGACCATCCACTTTGTTGCTTTTTTCACCCCCCCCAAAGCCGCGGAAACACCTGTGAACCAAATTAAACCAAGTGTTTGCAAACCATGTTAAGGTGGTTTGGTCGGAAGCAGCCAGTTCAGCTGCCTGTGGGCCAAGTGGGCTAAGTCCCAGCGGTCTGTGTATGTCTGCTTGAAAAAGTGATGGGCGGGCTCAGTTTTGCAGACCACGGCGTGATGGCCATGTGAGAAATACAGATGGTTGCTATGTCACATGGCTATGTATGGCTATGTCATCTAAATACGACGTTGTTTCAACAATCAATACCCCGGGGAACCCTCTAAAGGATGCAGCATTCCTTTTGCAAAAACACAATGTTCTTCCACGCAAGCAATATATATATATATATATCCCTTCAAATGGGCAATGTTCCTGTACCATATGCTGCGAATTTTTCCTTTTGCAGCCGCCTTTCTTAATATGCAGAATTCACGTCAAACGCACCAACGTGACATTGTTCCTGGAACGAATCCTGTCAAAATGATTGTTTTGCTTACAAATGGCAATTTTATGCAGTTTGTATTTTCGAGAAGCCATGTTCTTGATTCTTGCTAAAATAACAAAAGATCATTTTTTGGAAAAAATATGTCTTCGCTGTTTGTTGTTGTTTCTAGAGCCAGCTCTTTCTCTTTCTCTAAAGGAACTATGAGGACGTATTTTGTTTAATATGACGGAGTTGCGCATTACTATTCATGAAGTGCTTCCATCATCTTGCAAATGGCACCTTATATCATTTCCCGCCAAGAAAAAACATAATATTTCAGAAAAAAAATGCATATGTAAAAGGAATTTAAAGGGAGTACATGTTGGAATTAAGGCTCATTGCCTTAAGAGAATATTGCATCTCCCTCGAGGAGGCGGCATTTTTGGAAAACCACCCAAAACTTTCTACACATTTCTCAAGGAATACAGTACCATGCTCTTTTGGTGAAAAGGTCGCTATGCAAAAAAAGAATTCCTTCAACACGTGTAAAAGCGCAAAAACATAAGAAACCTTCTACTGACAGATCCATTTGTATAGACGGTGTTTTATAAACGGTCATGGCATTCTTTGACGGGAATGTTTTTCACCAATTATTAATTGGAATAATTCTTGACATGCATCATGTCGTTGAACAGGGCGCAAGGTCCCCTCAGAACAGGGATGCAATATGTTAGATTTTTGCCGCAAATTTTAGGGAAATATTTCACCTTCAAATGAAGGCTGCGCATTTTTTAAAGAAACCCTGCGTCTTTGAGAGCCAAACGCGTGAGTTTTTTGCAAAGGATGGTGGAGGGTTCATGCAACTATTTCAGTGCTATTAAGATGAAAACTTATTTCTGTATACTTATATATGTGCATATTTTTATTCTTAAATTGTGTGTGTTTTAACGAAACCTGATGTATTTACTGAATTGAGTGGAATAAGAACAGCAAAATTCAGAAGGTGAGTCTTGAACAAAAAACAAAAACATTTGAATAAACATATGACCTCATGATTTATGGCAATTTTTAGCGCCTAATGGGGTAGAACGTATTTTCTTAAAAGTGCAACCATATATGTATATGGGCTAATTAATGTTTTTTTTTAGGATTTGCAAAACAGAATGCCATTTATCTCAGTTTTCTGCCGCTCACAACAGGCACCTCCCCACATATGGTTTAATATAATATATCAGAGTTTATTATAATGTAACTTAAGATAGCATAATATAATTAAATTCAATATCATATAGTATAATAGTAGACAATAACACATAGTATAACATTTTATCATTTAATAAAAGATAATTTAATGCAATGTAAAAGAATATAAGGCATTATTTTTTAATCAAACCCTGTAATACAATAAAAGATGATTTAATACTATACACTTTAATACAGGCTAGTTGTAATACAATTAAACCCGCAATACAATACACCATATAGTTCAACCTAATGAAATATAGTATATTTTTTTCGTGGTATGCTGTACTATAATATTTTAAGATAATACAATACAATAAATATTTTGCAATGTAATATAGTAAACATAGTACATGGTCTTTTTTACAAAACACGGGTATATTGTATATTTAATATGTATATACACACATACGTACGTACCTACATACATACACACATACACACATACACACACACATACATACATACATACATACATACATACATACATACATACATACATACATACATACATACATACATACATACATACATACATACATCCACACACATACATACACACAATTACACACATACATACGTACATATATACAGACATACATACATACATACATACATACACACAATTACACACATACATACACACACACATATACATACACACAATTACACGCATACATACGTACATATATACATACAGACATACATACGTACATACATACATACATACATACATAAACCTCTACATATCTACATATCTATCTATCTATCTATCTATATTTATTTATGTGTATGTAACAGTGTATGTGTGCGAGCCACCGAAGGAAGTTTAGAACCCAAATGTCCGACAACATGGACAGATGAAGAAGCAGAGGTGGGAAAAGTGAAGAGGAGAGAAGAAGAAAGAAGAGCAGAGGAGAGAAAGGGTCAGAAGAAGGAAGATGCAGGCGAAAAGGCAGAAAAGCCCGTGAAACATGTTGTTTTCCCAATGATTTGTGGCTCCGGAGGGTCGAAAAGTAGGCTCGCTAAAGCGGCGGGTGCGGAGCCATCTGGCCAGATGAAAGATGAACAATTTCACGCCGTTGTGGCGCCAAGCGCGTTTCAGGTACAAAACACACCAACGCCGGAGCACGTTTGGAAGATGAGATGTTGAAAAAGTGCACGCCGTTGTGGCGCGCAGCGCGCAATTCAAAGTCAACATGTGCAAAACACTTCAGCGTGGTGCACTTCTAGGAATTTAGATGCCGAAAAAGTACAACGCGAAATCAAAATGTGAGTCACACCTTCCGACCACTTTTCGAAGTTGAAATGTCTTTTCGCATGGCGGGCGCAAGGGATTCTGCACCTGGTCAAAGATGAGCAAGACGTGAGGGTTTTGTAGCAGTTTCAAAAGCGTTGGCAGGCGTGGGATATTTGAAGAGGATCTGCAATGATGCATGAAGGAAGTGTCGCAGAATTGCTTCGTTTTTGATGTTGTCAACTTGGAAAATTGAGGAAGTCTCGCAGATTTGCTTCGTTTTTGACGTTGTCAAGTTCAAAAACTGAGGAAGTCTTGCAGAATTGCTGCGTTTTTGATGTTGTCAAATTCAAAAATTGAGGAAGTCTCCAAGACTAGCTTCGTTTTCAAGCTTGCAGCAAGACAGATAGATAGACAATACAACAGAAACAACAACAACAACTACTACTACTACTACTTTACTACTACTTTACTACTACTTTACTACTACTTTACTACTACTTTACTACTACTTTACTACTACTTTACTACTACTTTACTACTACTTTACTACTACTTTACTACTACTTTACTACTACTTTACTACTACTTTACTACTACTTTACTACTACTTTACTACTACTTTACTACTACTTTACTACTACTTTACTACTACTTTACTACTACTTTACTACTACTTTACTACTACTTTACTACTACTTTACTACTACTTTACTACTACTTTACTACTACTTTACTACTACTTTACTACTACTTTACTACTACTTTACTACTACTTTACTACTACTTTACTACTCCTTTACTACGTTTACTACTACTTTACTACTACTTTACTACTACTACTACTACCACCACCACTACTACTACTACTACTTTACTACTACTTTACTACTACTTTACTACTACTTTACTACTACTTTACTACTACTTTACTACTACTTTACTACTACTTTACTACTACTTTACTACTACTTTACTACTACTTTACTACTACCTTACTACTACTTTACTACTACCTTACTACTACTTTACTACTACTTTACTACTACTTTACTACTACTTTACTACTACTTTACTACTACTTTACTACTACTTTACTACTACTTTACTACTACTTTACTACTACTTTACTACTACTTTACTACTACTTTACTACTACTTTACTACTACTTTACTACTACTTTACTACTACTTTACTACTACTTTACTACTACTTCTACTACTACTACTACTACTAGTACTACTACTACTACTACGACGACTACTACTACTACTACTGCTACTACTACTACTACTTTATTACTACATTACTACTACGACTACTACGACTACTACTACTACTACTACTGCTACTACTACTACTACTACTCCTCTACTACTACTTTACTACTACTTTACTACTACTTTACTACTACTTTACTACTACTTTACTACTACTTTACTACTACTTTACTACTACTTTACTACTACTTTACTACTACTTTACTACTACTTTACTACTACTTTACTACTACTTTACTACTACTACTATTACTTCTACTATATACTAATACAAATAAACTATGCCACGCTACGCTACACCAATTACGCTGCACTACACTAATTACAGTGAACAACACTACAACTACAATTACAGCCACACCTACAACGACAACTACAACTACATTACGCTACGCTACACTCATTACACTACCCTACAACTACAACAGCACTACAACTACATTACGCTACACTATATAATCACACTACACTACCCTACAACTACAGCTGCAACTACGGCTACATAACACCACGCTACAACTACAATTGCGACTACAACTACACTACATTACGCAACGCTACACTACTCTAATTACACCGCACTACAGCTACAACTGCAACTACAACTACACTACATTGCACTATGCTACACTACACTAATTGCACGGGGCTACACTACAACTACAACTACAGCTATAACCAGAACAACACTACATTACACTACACTACACCTACAACTCCACCACGCTACAATTACAACACAGCTGTGCTACACCACACTGCATCGGGCAATTGTGGGTGAGGTGACCACTGCAAACACTGTAAGAAAACACAACTTCGACCACCTGTCGGTCCATCAGTGGATTCGCTCTGCCATCCATGCATCACAACAACTCACCTCTCCTATAGCGCTCTATCTTTGGAACTTTTGCCATTGCCTTGTACGGTACTACTGGTGTACAATGCATGACATTTCACGGGTGCCCGAGCATGTCCATGTCGCCGCTTGCATGGAAGGTTGGACTTTGGTGGTTTCGCAGCTGCAGGGAGCTCCAGCGCTAGCGGAATTGCATCGAAGGCTCTTTGCAGCCACAGGATTGCCGTTTCTAGGGACACACATAGGTGCCTGGTGGCTCCAGTTCGGTTGGGGCAGGTGCCAAGTCCTGCCAAGTGCCAAGGGCTGCCAAGGTTCATGTAGCCGAACCAAGCAGCATAAACATTGCCACACCCCAGGACTGGGCGGAGGCATCAACGCCTACTTGACACCTCCAGGTGTGCTGCCTGTGCTGGGGCCGGAGTTTGAGATCATAACAAAAGCTTTGGCCTTGGTGACAGAATGTTATATTCTTCATCTTGTTGGTCTGAACTCCATAGCCATCAAGAGCGTGTCCTTCAGCGCATAATCTGAATCCCTTGCTGTTGGTCTCTCTTGGTTCACATCGGTTTGCCGTTGGTCCTGTGCTCCACCTTGATAGTCTTGTGCTCACCCCTGTGAACTGAGGCTCCATTGGAAAGCCACCGCATATCGATGACCATGACGTGGTGGTGCTGTACCTCGTAAATCTTCAGATGAAGGGGGTGTCACAGCTGGTTCAGAAAAACCAAGAAATCTTCGGCAATACAAACGGCCAAAAAAATTGCAAGAAAAACTTTAACAAATAGACGCATGTTTTTTCGTGTATGGTTTCCTTTACGATGGTCTCAGTATTTGGCAATACTTACCGGCGATATCTTGTGGTTGTCCTACACGACTTTCATTTTGACCCGGTGGATTTTTTTCTGTAGCATCAGGGATCCATGGTGCACTCCAAAACAGCATCCGGTTGAGCACCTGAGGCAGTTATCCGGATCGAAGTGTTGGACACTGTTGGATGATTCACGATCAAATCCTCGAGCTGAAGTGACGTTGGCACCCAAGGATGTCATGTATTTACCACAAGGCCATGGTGGTTATGGTGGCTATGGGGTACGGCTTTCTGACGTATGCTTGAAAGATCTTGAAAGTTTGAGCGGCCTACCCATTTTCCCCACATCTTTGTGTGGGGTTCTTGTTTTTGATTCTGTATCCTGCCTCCGCCTCCGCTGCCTCCTCCTCATCCGAGCGCCATCTTTCACACACCATCTTTCATAAAATCTCCACACACCACTTTGTCACCCACCATCTTTCACACACCATCTTTCACACACAACTTTGTCACACACCATCTTTCACACACAACTTTGTCACACGCCATCTTTCACACACAGCTTACGCACACACCATCTTTCATCAAACCATCTTTCGCACACACCATCTTTCATCAAACCGTCTTTTTCCCCACACACCATCTCTCACATTCACACCATCTTTGTCGCCCACAACTTTGTCACACACCATCTTTCGCATTCACTGCTATCTTTGTCAGCCACAACTTTGTCACACACCATCTTTCCACCTTCGTTTTGCGTGGCAGGCGTGGCACTTGGCGACATCCACCTTCGCTTCGCGTGGCAGGCGTTGCACTTGCGGCACTGGGTTGGATCTGGTGGCGTGCTTGGGCGCGCTTGAGCGTGCTCAGTCGCCGGTGACGCCGCGGCACTGTGCGTGGCAGGCATGGCTGGCACTTGGCGACATCCACCTTCGCTTCGCGTGGCAGGCGTGGCACTTGGCGACATCACCTTCGTTTCGCGTAGCAGGCGTGGCACTTGCGGCACTGGGCTGGATCTGGGGGCGCGCTTGGGCGCGCTTAGTCGCCGGTGACGCTGCGGCACTTTGCGTGGCAGGCGTGGCACGTGGCGACATCCACCTTCGCTTCGCGTGGCAGGCGTTGCGCTTGGTCACATCTACCTTCGTCGTTTTGCGCGGCCGGCGTGGCATTTGCGTGGCACTTGGTGGCATCCACATTTGTTTCGCGTGGCAGGAGTGGCGCTTGGTGACATCCACCTTCGCTTCGCGTGGCAGTCGTGCACTGGACTTGGCGACATCCACCTTTGTTTCGCATGGCAGGGGTGGCACTTGGGGACTGTGTGTTGCTTGGCAGGTGTGGTACTTGGCGACATCCACTTTCGTTTCGTTTGGCAGGCGTGGCACTTGGGGGCATCCACCTGTGTGTTGCGTGGCAGTCGTGGTACTTGGCGCCACACATCTTCGTTTCGCGTGGCAAGCGTGGCGCTTTGCGACATCCACCTTCGTTTCGCGTGGCAGGCGTGGCACTTGGCGACCTCCACCTTCGTTTCGCGTGGCAGGCGCATTCGCCTTCGCTTGGCAGGCGCATCTACCTTCGTTTTGCGTGGCAGGCACATCTACCTTCGTTTTGCGTGGCAGGCGTGGCGCTTGGGGACATCCACCTGTGTGTTTTGTGGTAGGCCTGGCACTTGTTTGCACACGTGGTACTTGTTTGTCACACGCAACTTTGTCACCCATAAACTTTCACACACAATTGTGGTTCATTATTGGAAGAAATTGACTTGTGGGGTTATCCGGTCCTTTAACCCCTTGCAATCGTATGCAGCTATTGGAGCACTTCCCCATATTTCCCCTCCAACTACTCATTCCACATGATGTGCCTTTAGAACTTGCGACCGTGGTGCGGTGCCACGATGTGCCCCACGATGTGCCACGTGCTACACCACGCAGGTGCTTCTGCAAAGCATGTGTTCAAGTTGCACAAGTTGAGACCTTTCATGCCGCTGCATGTTTTAGCCAGGCATCCCACATCATGCTGCTGCCTTGGCAGTGGACGACCCATCCCTGCACTTGGCGGTGGCTTTGCATCGGCGACCCATGGCACTCAGCAGTGTGCTGGCTGCCCTGCTGACGCTACGGAGCTTGGTGGCTTGGCTGGGGACGCCACGAGATGCCACGAGATGCCACGAGATGCCACGAGATGCCACGAGTGACCTACCATAAACATTGTGAGCATTTGCGAGCAAGAAGTGTTGAACTTAATAAACGTTGATGATTCGTGCGAGATCGTGCGACTGTTCGTGTGAGACTTGGCAGGCCGCGGGCCACTCCAGAGATATGTTTTGTATATTTTGGTTTCCCACCTCAGCTTCCTTTGCAGCCAAGGACCCTGGCGAGGGCGCAATGCTACAAGCAACTTTGCTGAATGAAACAACCATTTCATGCACTTTCAAAATTCTTGGGGATGGTGGCAATCAGCTGGTTTTAACATGTTCCCTCTACGATCATCACCTTTTTTGTTTTTTGCTGAACCCCCTGGCAAAAACTTGAAGCGCTCAGGCATCCGTTGTGGAAGAGATGGAGGGCCGAAGTCAATCTTTCGCGGCCTTTGGAGCCCGCGAGCACTGGTTGAACCAACTGCTGCCAATGCATTTGCCTTTGGCAGCTCGTCCAGCAAAGGGCAGTGGAAAGATCGAAGGTACTGAATGGCGCTTTGTATTGTCTTAATTGATTATTGATTGCATATGATTGTTGTATCATGATATCATATGATATCACTTTGAGCCTACTCAAAGCTCCAATCATTCTGGATTGACAGAATTCCTTGAATCACCTGGCTGGGCATGACTATGGCATGACTATGGCATGACTGAAGAACTGATAAAGAGAGTTCCCAGTGTCCCCATGTCATCCAGGATAAACGGTTTCAGATGAGCTCGTTGGCAGGTTCATGCATTGGCTCCTGAAGATGTGGAGATAGGCAGTGGAGCTGTCAGGGTCATGGACATTGTGGGGAACGTTGATTTTGCATATTTTGTTGCCTCGTTGGTCTAGAAGCAAGTTGCCTTTTTCTGTGGCAGGGGGAGTTGCGAACACGATGATCATAAATTTTACATAATTTTACATAATATACGTTTGCTTTTACAAGTGCGCATTCGCAATCCTTTGATTTGCAATCGTTTGTAGTAATTTGGAATCATTTGCGTATCTGTGTGTGTGTATTTTTGATAGTCCCCGAGCTTGTTGTTCTCGCAGGTTTTTGTTTTTTTGCTTTTGTTGTTTTGTTGAGGTATTCTGGAAGCCTTCTGTGACCTTCTGCACCGTCGAGCGCTTGATCTTGCAGAACTGGTTCGAAGTCAAGGCTTTCCCATTTCAGGGCCCTTCTATTTTTTTATTCTCACCTGAAAGAGAGACCCAATCCATACATAACCTGGTAACATCTTGTAACCATCAATCATTCACCGCTTGCGAGTCTGGAACTATATAGCTGAGGTCCTCATATGCAGAGCTTCCTTTTAAGCGTAGATAATGATGATAATGTATGATTCTGCATGAACATGTATGATAACATAGCATCTCACGATTCTCATGGGCGGTATTCGCGCCGCAGATTGCAGCGATGCAGACGTCGGTTTGCCACCGGGTACAGCACGGCAGCGCGCCTTGCTGCGAGCCTCTGCCGCAGGCGCAGGGCGATGGGTTATCGGTTTGCCAAAAAACTCTGGGAGTCTCTGACGGGTTGTGGAATTTCAGGTTCTGAACATATTTTGAAGAGATTAGTACCAAATCATGCCAAATGAAATTGCACCAAATCATACCGGATCAAATTGCTGATGATCGCAATTACCAGCGATGGTTGCTGTACACATGTTCCAAATTGTTCCAACGCACCAAGAGGCAGTGAGATGGAGTTGGAAGAGGCTGCGAAATTGCCAAAGCAGGACGACTTGGATCGAACCATGCCTGTTGACTGCATCTTAAAGCTGCAAGGCTGAGCGTGTCTGAAGTTGGAATTCGTGGTGAATGATGGCTCAGAAGGCCTTGGACAAAGTTTCCAGGAAGAGGTGGTGACATGCATAATTCAATTGTTAAAATGTTTGCAGCCGAAAGTTCAATTTCATTAATTTTACATCCATAGCCCCAGCTCAAGACATCCTCACAAATAAATACAAATAAAATGTTATTATAAATGAGTTCCCCCCACACAAATTGAATGGTCAACATGCAGAAGGCAACTGATTTGCAAAGGCTACGTTTGAATACGTTTGAGCACTTGCATTCCTGCTATTTCCTGCTCATACTGGTCTACTGTTCTCTTTCCACGACCCGCTTTTGCGCCTCTACGCCGCCATGCCCTTCACTGTGGCACTTCTAAGTGGTCGCAGTGTTTTGGTGGAGGCCTCCACTGCGACGGAGCTGCTGCGAGCCGCGCAAAAGCAGCTGCAACTGCGGATCCACCGACTGATCACCCAGGAGCCGCTGGCAGTCAGCTTACTCCACAGTTGAAACTTGAGACATGTAAAAACATCTTTAAAAACACATGTTGCAATAGGTTGAGATTTATATATTTTATATATTTTATATATTTCATATTATTCACATATTGGATCTACTTGAGACCCCCAAGTTGCTTTCGTCGCTTTCGCTTTCTGAACGCTTTTCCTTCTCCAGGACGGTCAGTTCTTGGGACCTCAACACTTCGAAGGAAATCACCACGTTGTCCATGCCACGGTGCAATCTGCACGGCTCCGGTCATCTCGAAGTTCCACATCCTTCGCGCTGCTGCAAGGCCAGGAGGGGTATAAACAAGATAGTATATGATATATATATATATATATAGACTATAATATAAAATATATAAAGATATTAAAGATGTCCTGCCAACTGCTTCTACAACTATATGGATCTTCCCAACGGTACTACAAGTTATGGCGTCACCATGCGTCACCATTTTTTGGCACCTGTTCCACAATTCCAGCGACTGCATGAATCATCATGAATCCATATGAATCCATTGCAAGAAACATGTAGAAACATTGATTCATCATGAACATCTCAGGGCAATTCCAAGACATGGATTTCAACTCCAGAAGCTGCGTCGAGGCGATGGTTCAGTGATTTGTTGGGGAGATCCAGCAGCAGTGGATAATCGCGCAGCCACTTGACACAAAGCTGCTGTAAAGGGTCCAACTGCAATGTACTTTTTAAGAAGATTTCTATAGATTTCTTATATCTTCTTACAATTTTCTAGGCATGTTCATTCGGTTTTTGGCCACTGTGGATGGTGTTGCTAATTCTGTATTGCTATGCATCAGATATCTCAGCGGTGCCTCGTGCCACCAGGAGGAAAGAAAATAGAAGGTACAGTAAGTGCAGGCGCCAGATTCACTGGACCAATGCGCTGGTAGGGATGCTAGTGGTTCACATAGTTCAATGCATCACTGCAAACATAATGGGGCAGCGAGGATCAGTGACAATAAATGATGCACAGTGGATCAAACATTAGGTTGATGATGAAATCATGGTTATATAGTTTTATATATTTTAGGAATTGATTGGTTGTAAATCAATGATGGGAGCCGAGGTCCAAGACCAGCTCAAGGACATTCTTGACATAGCGATGACCAGTAGCGCATTTGCAGCTGTCAGGGCGGATGGTAGTTGCATCATGTGGGGCAATGCACCAACTGGAGGTGATTGCAGACCGAAAATTCAGGAGACGGTGTTAAAAAAACAAAAAATATTCTCTATATATACCTTTTTCAAATATATATTGTATTTGTAGAATTTTGTAGAAAAAAAAATATATATTATATGTGTGTGTGTGAATATATGATATGGTTTGAAGATGTTTGAAACATGCAGAATCTGCTCCGCTAAATCTTCCTCACAATTTGTCATTGGGTCATTGGGTTGAGCACGGACTCTTTACGGATCGTGGTCATCTGGACGTCAGGAGCAGCTGGTGAACGTCCGACGCATCGTGGCATCCCGTGTGGCCTTCGCAGCCCTTCGCGAAGATGGGCTGGTGGTCAGCTGGGGTGGCTTGGAGGGTGTTGGCCATCAGCAAGTCCAGGACGGGTATACGGATGGCATGAGTGCCATGGCCATAATATGTAACATTATGTAACTGTATATCATCGGTATGTACATATATATGCCAATATTGATCATATTGGGGGATGGTAATAATACCAGCATTAATAGGGAACTAATGGACGACATACGGATTTCCAACAGTGGTGGGGTGACCATAATCCATATACGCAATGTTTTGACCATGGCATATATAGGGAATCGCGGGGGTGACATTAATGATGACGTCAACGTGAAGATGTGTGAAAATGGTTTTCTATGGTGCTAGTGGCTGACTGGGCAACGTCCAACAGTGAAGCATTCTTCCAGCAGAGCATGAACATAACTTTTATGAGGGTAAAAAGATAATTAGGGATGGAAAGATTGATATTCCAATTGCCGGTCTGTTGGAGTCTAATTCCTTTTCGGTTCTTTTTCTGGGATGTCTCAGCATTCAGAATGCCATGTGCTCTTATCCCAGCATGTCAGTGATATATAGTGATATTCGTGATACACCAATGTTTGATGGTTAAACAGTTAAGCCCATTATTTGATGGCAAACGAAGTTTCCTCGCTGACAATCACCAAGACATACAATGATTCAATGGCTCCACGGTCCCAAAATAACGACGATATCAGATCCGGTCAGATTCCGTCAGGATGAGCTCTACGACGTGGTCGACATCGCCGCCTCGGATCTCTCCTTCGCTGCGTGGCGGGCGGACGGCCGAGTGGTGACCTGGGGCAACCGGAGCAATGGCGGAGACAGCCTGGCAGTGCAAATGCAACTGAAGAGCCTTAGAATCGAAATACAAACATGGGATCAAAATATATCAAAATGATCAAATGGATTCAAGATGATTCAAGTGGAATCAAACCGTCAAACATCATCAAACATCCGGAAAAAAAACAGGATTGAACATGATTAATTAATGAACAATAAGTATTAAGTATACGTACAGCAATGAAAAGCCTGGATTTAACCATCGAGAACAGGGAACAAAATCCACAAATGGTTATATAATGCATATGGGTATGGGTATTTTGATACCTAAGTAACCTATGATAGACCATGGGTTGACGCGCATGTTTTCAGAAGTGCAAGCTAGATTTTGGCGTGATAACTGAGGGGGTGCAGGGTTTGGAAAGTTTGGACCTATAATTATCATGATATCCGCATGTATCCGCATGATTCCGCAGGGCCCCCATGGGAAGCTGGCACTTGAACGGGAACTTGTAAATTTTATGGCAACGGTTTGACGACGGAATAATAAATTAGAATCAGCAATGAGAAGGGTTGGAAAGAATGAAGCATTGGCAATTTGGACTCAACACATTTCAGATGATAAACGTCAATCTTTCCACCATTTTGATCCATGTTTTAAGCACAGGAATGTGAAGGAGGTGGTCGGCGCAAGTTCAGCCTTTGCCGCAATCTGCCAAAACGGCTCTGTGGTAACGTGGGGCACCTCGACCAAAGTTTACGGTTTCGCATCCCTCACACAACGCCGTGTCCTAGCCTCCTAGTCCTAGCCTTCATATTTTTTCCACCCGCAACTTGTCGAACTTGGTCGCGGGTCTGGAGCCTGACGTTTCTGCTTTGGGTTGACTCGTTCAGATGTGTTGAATCATGTTGAACTGACTAGGAGTTGTAGCAGAAATGGTCAGTACGTTTAGCGCTGCCTGAGTGTTGCAAGCTGGCAGCTGCGCTTCCGAGGTGTGCCTTCTGCTGGTGGGGACAGCAGGAATGTTCAAAAAGAATTGCGAGGCTCTCAACGTGTTGGAAATCGGGATCAAGCTGATCTTGTTGTATCTTTATAATTTATAATGTTTGAGATTGTTTGAGTTGAACGGATTTTGGAGGTCTCCGTCGAATCCAGAAATGCGCGTAGATCACAGTATATGAGAAGCACGATGCAGTGCTGCTACATTCTGGAAACTGTCCGTTCATAATCTAACCTAGTAAAGTGAATTCCTGATTATATAGATAGATTCATTTGCATAGCAGCACAATCTACAGCAAAAAGTGTTTACAGACATGTCTAGATTATGCTAATGACTGGTATGCACATTGTACAATATGATCAATATGGTTTTGATGTCCGGGTTCAATTGGAAGACCAACTCTGCGCCAGGCGTGGCTTCCATCACGCCGTCTGGCAGTGCGTTCGCTGCGCTGCGCAGCGATAGGCAGGTGGTCACCTGGGGTGATCCCTCCTTTGGTGGTTACAGCAACAGCGTGCAGAAGGACGGGCTTCTCTTCCCGGTGACCAGGGGGCCAAGATGGGCCAAGATGGGCCAAGATGGGCCAAGATGGGCCAAGATGGGCCAAAATGGGCCAAAATGGGCCAAGTGTTGGGAGCGATGGCAGCGGTGACGCTTTAATTAAGCACCAATCTCATCCGATGGCCGATGGCATGATTCTTATCACGCCTTAACAGGAAAGAATGCATATCAGCTTAGGGAAGCTAAGGCATGTCGAGCCCTTTTCAGGCATGTCAAGGCAGGTCAAGGATGGTCAAGGCATGTCAAGGCTATTATGACAATGTGAATAAATGTGATATAATATGGCAATGTGTGACAAGTTTCAAGGCCACCTCCTTCATGTTGGGCTTCAGTTGCAGCGAGGATTTGCAAGATGTTCGGCATTTAGCAGCAACCTTTGGCGCGTTTGCGGCCGTTTGTGGCCCTTCCCGCAGGGTGGTGGTGTGGGGCAACAAGTCTTATGGTGGAGATGCTGGAAGAGTGCAGGAGACATGATACTGTAAGAATGCATGGGAGATAAAATATGGAACGAAAAAAATTGAAGTCAGGGGATGCCAAATATGCCAAACTATGCCAAACTGATCCAAACTGTATCTAACTAAGCCAAGCTGTTCTACGCTGCTGGGAATAATTTGTGAATAGGGAAGCCTCCATGTTTTGGTCCTTTTCGCGCTCCCAAATTCTTGGCCAGGAGCAATTGATTGACATTGAAGAAATTTGTTCCACACATTTTGCATTTGCAGCCCTACGGGCAGATGGCCAAGTTGTATCTTGGGGATATGATCACTATGGTGGTCTTTGTGACGTGGCAGATGAGCTCCACGATGTGCAGCAGATTGTGGGATCTTACGGAGCATTTCACGCTCTACGGGCAGATGGCTGGGTGATTTCCTGGGGGAGCGCCGACTCGTGTGGTTCAGTGCGGTGCCAAACGGGAGCAGTTGGATGCTGATGTCGCATACCAAGTTTCTTCCCAAGTTGCACTGATGGCAAAGATGGCAAAGTCTGCCCAACCAGAGAGCAGGTAGTCTGATAGTCTTGCATGTTTCCTAAATTCAAGTTAACCTTTGCCTAGAAGATTGGGAGGGTAAGAACTTTCAATGTGAGGGGTGGCAACGAGGCATAAGTAAATTTCCAGCGTCTCTTTTCACTGGCTGAGCCATAGAGCGGCTAGTTTTGGAAGAGACAAAGTGCTGCTGTCTTTTGGGCCTTTAACAATTCCCATTGGTTGTCGCAGTGCTCGCCAGTAGCCATTGAGCTGTGTACAGTCTCATACTTAACCAAGCCCTGCAGAACGGGTTTGGCGAGAGCCATTCGCAGGGTTGAAAGAAGGAGCTAGCAATGAAGTTCACCAGCACAGCAAGTGACGAAACTTTGGTCGAAATCGGAAAGACTATGACTGATCCAAACAGAAAAATGATCCAAACAGAAGAAAAGCCCAGGGGATCCCATTTTTTGCGTAGCCAACTGCTGTTTTTCTTAGAAACGCCCGGAGCCATCTCCCGTCGCTGCACAGGACTTTTGCAACCTATGCTGTGCTGCTTTCTGGACACGGCGCGAGTTCGTGATGGAGAGCAGGGGACCGGAGATGGCCTTTTGATATCTGTTGATGGTGTTGCAATGTGTTGCATGATCTTGATATATCTTGATATATCTTGATGTTGATCTACTCCCAACATGTCCATCTGTCCAGACTGTCCATCCATGTTCTACTCTACTCCTTAAGAGCTCAAATGCAAAACCCAACAAGATGTACATGGAACATTAACATAGAAAGTATCTATCATGTTCCATGATGCTGTATGGACCGATATGGACCGGTACGGCATCATAAACATAGTAGCCGGTAGCCAGCCGCAAGTTGCCGCAAGCCTTGGAGCTTTCTTTCCACGTCTCAGGAGCAGCACTTCCGACAGAGCGGCGCATGGGAGGTCGTGGAAAGATACGAGAGGTGCCACAGAGCGGTTGCGGCTACCCGGATCTGCCTTTTTTCCTCAAATCTTGAATTCTGGACAACAAGTTTGTGACAACAGTTGAAGGTAACAAGATGTAACAAGATCCAACGCATATACACTTAACATGAGCAATTCAATGTGGGGGCATGCAACTTCTAGGTATTTCAATTCAATCGGTGATGAAAGATGTGGCCGGGATCATCAAAACCGGTGCTGGGCGCCGAATCAGCGGCAGTGGCTCGAGTTCTCCATGAAGGGCAAAAGCTGGTCGCCCAGCTGGTCGCCCAGCTGGTCGCCCAAGGGATCGTCGAAGGGATCCTCGAAGGGATCCAAGGGCTGGTCCCCAGGCCTAAGCAGATCAGGGCAGGTGAACAGCAGCATCCTTGAAAGGACGACTGGGCCAACTTGGGTGAAGGGCTGGTGCCACTTTTGCCACAGAAAACCACAGAAAAGCATGAAAATCAGAAAATCATTTGAGCATCCTTTGATATCCTTGGCCTTTCTTTGGGTGAGCCAGCATGAATTAGCCAATGTCAGCCACGTTCAAGTGGGTTACAATGTGTTGGAGGTATGTGTTGATGTGCTGATGATCAGGGATGTCCATCTTTTCCTATCTTTTCCTACTCTCTATGAATTCCCAAGCAGTTTGTTGTATTTGTCTCGGAGGAGTGCTGAAGAGATCCTGGTTCTGTTGGAAGATGAGTCCCAAGCCTTCGATTTCGTGAATCTGGTCACCGCTTTGCATCGCATTGCGAAGACAACGGGCTCACGCTACTCCAACGATCCGCGGCTATGAAGGCTGATAGAGAAGGCCATTGGGATGTGTGACCATCAGATACAATCATTGCTTTGAAGGGCCTTTAGCATCTTTCAGCCATCTTTAGCTTTTAGCTTTTAGCATGTCTGTTTGGTAGTTTTTCGCATTTTTTGCATCCAACTTTTGCGAAGCAACTTTCTGTGAGGTGCGTGTATTCCTAGCCGACACCGGCCTGAAACGGCCACGACACATTGCCAACAGCTTGTGGTGTTTTTCTCAGCTTCAGAGATCAGAGCAGCCCTTGTTGGAATTGGTCGCCGCTGTAGCCCTTGAGACCATGGACAGCTTTGAGCCACAGAGTCTTGCAAGCAGCATGTGGGCCATGGCGGCCATGGCCAAACTGAGTTTTTCTGATCCCAAACTTTGGTCTGCTTTGAGTGAACGATCTGTGGAGCTGATTTTGGAGTTTGATGCCCGGGGCCTGTCCAACAGTGTTTGAAGATGTGCAACGATGCGTCGCCATGAGCAGCAGTTGCTGGAAGCCTTGGGTCGAGCTGCGGTGCCCAAGTTGTCGGAGTTTGATGAACAGGCGCTATCGACCACGATGTGGGCGTCAGCCAAACTCACCATCCGCAACCAGACGAATCAGATGCTGATTGATGCCATAGTGCTCGAATTGCTCAACCGGGATGCGAATCTTCATCAGCAGGGCCTTGCTAACATCTCATGGTCGTGTGCAACTCTCCGCATAGGTGCCACAGGGGGGTTCCCAGCCGTTTGTGGCTAAGATGAATTAAACATAGCTAAACCAGGTCCAGGTTCGTCTACTTAGTCCGTGATACTCGTTTGGCAGCGTACTTGTAAAGCCTAACATGCTGTGAAAGCAAACTCTTTTGGTGAGTCACGTGCATCCCATGTACATCTGCATGGGCTTGTGCTTTGGATTTTGCCAGAATTTTAGTCTGTTTCACCGAATTGTGGAAAACGTGTTGTTGATGAATCTGGCACTTTTCATGATCTTCCATTATCTTCAATCTGATTTTCGCCAGCCAAATTCATCAAATTTCATGTTCTTCTTGTGACTCCCGATGGCTTCAGGTGATCCAGCCCTCCTCAGTGCCTTGGCAGGCTAGGCCTTGAGAAAGCTCAGGGAATTGCAACCGCAGCACCTGTCCAACATGGCCTGAGCCTTCGCCAAGATACAGCACATGGATCAGAATCTCTTTGTCGCTTGGCAAATTTATGGTAAATATTCGTAAATTGATGTAAATTGTGGAGTTGCAGCAAGCTGGATCTCAACAGAATTGACGGAGAGTGCTGGTAGATGCTGGTATGTGCTGGTGCCCCTGCTACAAAGTGGCTAAGCGGCTGAGGCGGCCATTTGCAGCCAGTCCATGGGTTTGATGGGCCAATTTGGTGCGCAGAACCTTGGGAATTTGGCGTGAGCCGTGGCCAAACTCCTGATCGAAGATGCCCCGCTGATGATGGCAATTTCCAATATGGCCCGGCAGAAGATGCAGAGCTGTGGTCACCAAGAGATTGGTGGCTGGCACATACCATCAGGACAATAGTTTTTTTTCTCCAGGGGGCCGACAGCTGAGTCAGCAATGATTATTTGACTTGAGAACTCAAACATTTCTTAATGTGAGATCTTCACAGATACTTTATGAATGAATATTGGCGATATAGCCGTCATCCCTGATGCCACCTGTTGATGCCATTCTGAGGTAACATTGCCTGGGCTTTCACCACCTTAGCCATTCGCGACCTGCCGCTGTTGGATGCTGTGGCCGCCGAAGCCACACAGCGCATGGCACATTTCAACGTTCAGGGCATGGCGAACACGGCATGGGCATTGGCCAAGGTGGGGCCATGGTGGGGTCATGGTGCCATGCTTCGCGGTGGGGGGCCATGGGCCATGGGGATCGGGTCCACGAAGCATCACGAAGCATCACGAAGCGATCGGGTCAGGTGAGCTACCCCAATATGCCCTTCTTCCATTGCGTGGCCGCGAACGCTTTGGCGACAATGTCATCATGGGATCCTCAGGCGACAGGATGGGACAGATGGGACCTGTGTGGATCACCTGTTGGAAGTTGCAAGGCGAAAATATGTGAAAATCAACATCATCAACGTGTAAGCGACATATAATATCATATAATCAACATACAATTAACATCTCAAAGACGGAGCATCAACATATTTTCTCCACTTTTGGTCATCGATGCGACTGTGGCACGAGGCCATAGCCAACTTGTCCTGGGCAAATGCAACGATCACCTTCTTACACGAGCCCTTAATGGCCGCCATCTCGGAGCGAGCGGTGTGTGTCATCACCGAGTTTACCACGCAGAACCTATCAAACAGTAGCGTGGTAACCGCTTGAACAATCTTGAAAATAGCATTCAGATATGTCATTGATTGATATTGATATTGACAAATTGATATTGATGGGATATTGGTTGATTGGGGACAAGTTATGGGATAAGTCGGAGAAGTATACTCCAGGGATCTCCAGGCTGTGAAAATCCACACTCCCATGACTTGAAACCTGTCGCATATGTCGCAAAACAATCCACGCACCAGAGAAACCAACACATGTGGGAAGTATTTACAGCCGTATCTACAGCTGTATCAGTCTCATAGGTATCATGACACGTGCCCTCTGCGACCAAGGTATTTGGGCCTATGCAACGCTGCGTGTAGAGTACGATGCAGATTGTTTGAACGAGCCAATGGACATTCAGGAAAAAAAGGAATTTGATGGAGTTTCAGGTAGTCCAAATCCATTGTTTAATCACTTGGATGTAGGTCAAACCTGGCGAACCCTTCTCCCAAAACAGTATAAATAGCTTTGTTCCAGAAGCGCAATGGGGTTCTTCTTTAAGCAAACATAAAGTACAATTTGGGGAACAAAATAGAGTAGAACATCTAAGAAAGAAAATTGGTAAGAAACTTGGGAAGAACATCAGGCAAAAAACGGGAAAGAACATAGCTAGATTGCAGTGATGCTTGTTTCATTTTGAGGGCCAGTGTCACATTGCCGGTCTGGTGTTGCCCTTCCTCCCTTGCTTGAGCAGATTTTGTTGAAGGTGATATAGAGAGAGAGAGAGATAGGATAGGGACGGATTGGGAAGAACATAGGGAAGATCATAAGGGAGAAAGTCGGGAAGAAAATTGGGGAGGAAACAACGGAAGAAAATAGGCAAGTGCATGGGAGAAATTAGGGAAGAACACAGAGAGGAAAATAGGGAAGGACAATTGGAGAGAAAACCGGTGAGAACATATGGAAGCTAATAGGAAGCAAAATAGGAAGGAAATCAGTGCAGCAAATCGGTTTCATCATGTTCACTCATCAACCTTGCACAAAAGAGGTGGGCTGAACCGATTTTAAACAGGTCATAACAGGTTCAAGATGGTTTAAAATGATTTAAGGATCATGCAGCAGAAATTTGATCCAACTTTGACCACCTTCCAGGTGCTCCCTCACCCGCTGCGCCCTGCTGCATCGTGGCCGCTTGAGGGTCAATGGCCACCAGCTGCTGCTCGGAGAAATTGGGGTGACAGGTTGTGACAGCTGAAAATTCGTGCAACGCTCAAGAAGGACACACTGAAGCTCGATAGAGATTGAATCATGACATGAGAATCAACAATGGAAAACATGTATCAACAATTGAAAAACTATGAAACACTATTTATTAAATTCTGTGGGCACATTTATTTACCATTATTTCTTTACGTTTTTCTTCGGGGGAAGCACAACGACAATTCTATAATTAAAAGACTTTTGTGGTATTATTTGACTAAACACCGGTGATTTGTCATCCCCCCCAGTCCAACTGCTGCCAAGGCAGTTGTCAGCCAAAGCGCTGGAGGCTGCCTGCGCGCTTTTGCGAGGCCGTTCACTTGAAGAAGTCTCCCAAGAGTGGCTTGCCTGCAGATTTCCCCTTGGATCATCTACAGACAGGTGCTCCGGCCAGATAGATAGGTAGACTACGGTAGACTAGATGACTAGATTGGACTAGAGTAGACTGGATTCAGGAAGAGAGAGAGAGAGAGGGCACACAAGATGGGAATAGGTGAAGTGTGGTGTTGATGTTCCCTCTTGTAAAATGATATAATACAATCCAGAGCAGCTATTACTATAAGCATTAAAATACTAGCATTACGGCATCATTCATTCGTCCTTCAACTATTCATTTCATCCATCCATTGATTCTACCCATCCACCCGTCCATCCATCCATCCATCCATCCATCCATCCATCCATCCATCCATCCATCCTTTGATATCTTTGATTCATTCATCAATTCATTCGTCATGTGATTATTTCATCATTTCATGATTTACTTTAAATGCACCACATGGCGCATCACGTCTCCTCTGTAGAGCTGTTGACTCAAAGCTTCCCACTGAGGTCCAGCCATGCACAGGAGGCCGCAGCCGAGCTTCTGCGCGTTGGTGCGCTGGAGAAAAGTCGCCTCAGCCTGGTGGATTTTAATCGAACTACTGAGGTAACTACTGTGCAGAAAATAAGTTGCGACAAAAATATGTTATGAAGGTCGCAGGATGTTTGTCTCGGATGCTTTCTGTTGGCAGAGATGTCCTCGAGTCAAAGCATAGAATTACAGTGACGTTTTTCAAGCTCACAGGCCTCCACAAGGTTTCCAAGCAACAGCGCAGCTGCAACTCACATGCAAAGAGCCTTCCAGGATACTTCGATCTGCGCACAGTGAAGGAGTCACCTCTGTGGGTTTCGTGCCCGAGGGCGTTGAGTTCAATCTGCTCATCACCCGTATCCTGGCAATGCTGATGGAATCGTCGGACATGCATCCACATCAACACAATTCAACACACATGCATACCAATACACAAAGTATCACAAAGTCCACCAAAATTACGCCTTCATATGTGTTTGATACACCGGCACAGGCACGTCACAGGCGCCCGCACACAGACTCATATTATGGGTATTGTGTTTGGCAGAAAGTGGGACAAAGATGGACAAATTCCTCTTCAACAAATGATGTAAAATTCTATTAACTGATTAGTTCAAGAAAATACTTTTACGATCTTTTACCTGCGTGCTGCAATCAATGAGGCTCACTGGACAATACCATGAAGGCCGCCATTTGCTAGCGAATTGCTGCTGGTTTGGGGTGACTTCAAGGGCATCACAATTGATCAAGATCACGGTTCGGCTCAAGAACGAAGAGCCATTTGAGCTCAGAATGATTTCGGCCTCCTTTCGTTTGATTTTGTGGAGCTCTTGAAAGGGCCGGGCCTTAACAGTTGCAACTTGTTCTTGGCTCTCGGCTCCTGTAGATTTTGCTGTCGACTTGTCGTTGCCACGGTGAAGGCGGTGGTGGTATGGTGAATGTAATTAAAGGTGCACACCTTGTGAAAGATGAGCTTTGCATAGCTTTGCAGCGTGGTGGACACTGGTTGTACTGGTGGCCAGTTGAAACAAGCAATTGAAGAAGCGACCCACTGGGTGGAGCTGATTTGCACGCAATGCTTAGCAGTTTTGCACTTGGTGTCAGAGCTATTCGTGACAACGAGGTGATGGATTTTACTGGTGAGGAGACCATGCTTGTGATGATGACGCGCAGGCCCCTGCCTGCCCAAGATTTTTACCGCCTAGAAGGCTTTGGCACTTGCCATGCGTTGCTTTGCATCTAGCCCTGTAGTGCTTGAAGTGCCATGGCACGGCCTTGTGTTTGGCACTGGCCAAGAGGAAGCCCAAGCGATTTACTTCGAGAAATCTGAACATTTACGCCAAGACCAGCCTGACAAAGACATGAATTTTAACCATCGAGCTTTGGGCTGGAAACATTTGAATGCTGAGCCTGCCCTGGGAATATGTTGCAGGTGTTGCAGGTGTTGCAACAGATGACATCGTAGCTGTACTCTGCAGTTGACGATGCGGAAGTCAAGTCACTTGCAGTTGAGCCCCATCGCCTTGACACAAGACAAGGAAGTCGAGTCTTTGGGGCCTTTGCCAAGTTGGAGCAGGCAGAGCCTCCCGAGAGCATTGACTGTGAATTCCTGACGAGATTTGAGCCGTGCTTTCGCACGTGGGAGACGGATGTTGTTTTTGGCGTAGGGAAGACTTTTGCTGAGATATGAGATGCAACAGCTTGTAATGCTGCATGATGCTGCGACGTGCTGCGCCTGAAATAAAATATTTTCAGCGTTGCAACTGTTTGAAGTGCATCCTGCACAAGCTTTGAACATCATGCTTTCAGATTAGCGCTGTCATCACATGCCAAGAGCGCTTCCACATAGGAAAAAAAAATGTGAAGGCCGTCCTTGGCTGATTTTTCAGACCCATTTGCCAGATTGGCCAGCAAATCAATCAGGATCATTCTGTATGTGAGGTGTATGTACGTTTGAGTCACGCATTTCACCGATTTCAGAGCTGACCGTTCGATTTGCTGCGCAGATCTGGGACTGCCGCATGCTGTCTGATGCCAAGGGTCCTGTGAAGGCAGCAACACACGGGGCGGGAAACACAGCAAGGTCTCAGCTGTTCATGTCACCACCTTTGGGCCTTCGGATGCCTTCGGATGCCTTCGGATACATTCGAAACATCAGCATCCTGCAGCATGCGCAGCATGTCCTCATCAGCGTCCTGATCATCCTGCATTCAGTTGGTGCAGGTCTTCGATGATTTGCGCACCGCCCATGAGAAGACGGGAGTGTGCACGTCCTGTGTCCCGGAAGGTTCAACCACCGGCCGAGGCCATTAGCTGAAGCTAACTATGTACATTATATATATATATAATATATATATATATATTATATAATATGCTAACTATTTATATATATATATATAATATGCTAACGGATGCAGCTTGGGAGGTCCCAGCTGATGATTTGAGGTCTCCAGATGGTCGCTATGTCGTCACGGGCACATCCCTCTCCAAGAATGCCCTAGGCCTCCTGGTCCTGAGCTGGCCATGTAGAGTTGAGATGGATAGAGAGAGGGAGAGATCCCAACCTAAACTGTTGAGACAATTTTAAAGAGAATTTTAAAGACAATTTTCCATTGGGACTTCAGGGGCGGCAAGGGGTGCATGACTTTTTTCACTTCAGGGCTACCTTTCTGCATGTGCTTGTGGCTTGCAAGGCGCAGCCACCCTCCGGGTCTACGATGCAACCTGGCCTCAGACTTCTAGCCGGTGTAGGAGCGCAGTAATTTCACCTGAATCAATGAGAGGATCGGCAGGTGAGAGACTTTCACAGCAGAATCTGCAGATGAAGCAGAGGCGTACAAGACTCGCAGGAGGCAGGATGAATGTTATGTGATAACCCTTGCCTTGCAAACCTGTGAAGTGCTGGGGCAGAGTATGGGCAGAGTCAAGGCCGATTCAATCAACAAATGAGGAGACCTTTACAGTGACCCACCCACGAGCCGTTGCTGCGTTGCCATCATACCTTTGCTCTGTCCATTCTGTCCTTGCCGAGGTAAAGACCATGACTTTGGCGAAGAGCTTGGACTTTGGCAAGAAGCACCGCTCTTAGCTTGCACTGTTCTGCTTCAGGCACAGCAAAAAAAAATCAGGTGCATTAGCTTAGTTTCCACATTTTCCACTAAGACAGTAGAGGAAAATGCCTGGCATATCTGGCATTGTTGATGAATGATGAACATTGATGAGTTTGGTGATCATGCACTTCTTGTCTTCTTCGCATCCAGTGCCCTTGACATGACTCTCCTAAGGTCAGTCTTGCAACTGGCATGGCCAAAGGACTTGAACCAAATCCTGGCCTCGGGACTCAGGCTTCAGAGAAGGGGTGGCCAATGATGGCCATATGGAGCTAGGATAATTTTAGCATTCCAAATCACAGTTGCCGTTCTTTTCACGGGCCATGGCCAGAGAATCCTGATAATATCTGGGATTCTCCGTGACCTTGGTCTCATGCTGCAGCGTGGTGACCGCCCTAGGCCACCACTACGGCCGGTGACGTGGTGATGCTGTACAGTCCATTTTCCTCAAGGAGCTGATTTGGGCTGTGGCATTAGTCATGGCAATCATGCTGCCAACATTGCAAGCCGCTTCCCATTTGGATCTTTTCATGTCTTCTATTGTCTTCTTGCATTTCTGCATATGACAACGATCCGGTGTCTTGATCATCACTTTCTTCGTGCTCAACATGTCATTCTTTGTCCACTTTGATGGCATGTGAATCATCCCATGTTCCGTGGAACAGATTACCAGCATTTCCGGGCATGTTCTGGGTGAACTCAGAGTTAAACTGACTATACTTGATTTGTGCTATGTGCATTTCAAAAGCAGCCAGGAAAGGTGCCCTGCATTTCGCAGCTTGGCTTACGGCCGGGTCAGGAGGCAGCCAGAACACCTTCACATCTTTATTGGGGCGAGTGACGGCAAGTGTTTACAACCCATATAAGGATTACTGCAAAAGGTGTGCCACAGATAAGAGACATTGAGTAGTTGGGCATGGGTATGCATGGGTGAGTTCTGCTACCTTCCCACAGTCAGTGGAAAGACCCAGCAACCGATTTTGATGAAACCACTGTCGTCGGTGGTGCTTTCAGCAGCACCACGCCAAGGTTGGGAAGAAGGCTCGGAAACCTCGAGACCGAAACCAACGCCTGCATTTGTTTGGGTAGAATCCTCGCGGATTGCTCGTGCTGGCAGTCCTATCAGCACGCGTCTTCTGGGATCCAGAACAGGTTCTGGAATCTAAGATTAAGATTTGGATGTGGGGTCTTTATCAATCTTCTTTCCTCCATTTGACTCCCTGATTTCCACCTTACTCGACCCTTCATCGCTCCATATTCCACTCTTATGACATGTATAGGCCGTATAGGCCATATAGGCTCTGCATTTCAGAAGACGGCAACAAAGCCATGTTCCCAAAAGTGCCCAGAAGTTCCTAGAGGTCCCCAGAGGTTCCCAGTTCCCAAGTCTTGGAGGCCAAGACCAAGTCAGCCTTCAGCCAGCTGGAGGAAGCAGGTGGGAAGCCGGTCAGAAACCCCCCATGGCTGCCTCATGGCTGCCTGGCATGGCCTGAGGCACTGGGCCCATCTTCAATATGACGGTGTGATGCTCAGGTTGTGGGTGGACAAATTGCCACCAAGACGTGGTGAAAGTGTCTTCGAGATGGTTTGAAGTCTTAGATTTAGATGATGACATGGTTGAGTTTAGATCAACAACCGAACCGGCAAATTGAACATACTTGAATTGTTTGATCAGGACCCAGACGAGATCAAGAAATTCTACTCAACTGGTTCAGGGCTCAGGGACGGCGCCCTCTCCATGTTTTCACCTGTCTTCGGCTCGGCTTTGCCGCGCTCAGAACGATTCAGGTCATGGCGACATGTCCCTTGGATGAATGATCGATGGTGTGTGGCAGAGGTCATGATTGGGGAGGGCCAGCTACATTCAACGATGTTACAAGAAGAATAAAGAATTCACGATTCAGGGCTTGAGGAGATGTTAACTTCACTGTGAAGATAGAGACACCTGGAAGGAAGTATGAAAAGGGGATCTAGACCTAGATAGATAGCGTTTAAATCGGCCCTGGCGTCTTGGAGTGCTGCACAACATATCCACAATGTGACCCGAGATCAAGATGATCTCATTTTGGCGCCAAATTGTCAGTCGGATCAATGGATGAATCAATGGTTCGATCACTCAATGATATGTTGGAATGGGTTGGAACAGTTGGAAGATGTTCTACATGTTCCAAATGTTCCACGTGGGGTTCCAAGACCAAGGTACCGCATCCGCCGGAGTGAGGCGCGAGCCGCGCAGAAGACGCTGACGCCCACGCGGCCAGAGGAGCTTGGAAACAGAGTGAAGATTGGAGCTATTTGGAACTTTAAGCTAAGCTATTGGCTATTTATGTTATTGGAAAGATGAAATACGATGAAATTAGATGAAATCAGATTTGGATCATGTGATTCTCTTTGAATACAACAATGTTTTAGCTGATAAATATGATTGGTTGGTTTGATTCTTTCTTATTCAATTTATTCCACTGGTTGATTTGTTTGAGGAGTCAGGTACCAAGATGCCCGATCAGAAGTTTGGTGACTTTGCTGCCTTGGCCTTGAAGGTTTGGGGGGCAGGTTGGGCAACGGTTGGGTATGGTTGGGGTTGGGAATCGGCTGGGATGTAGGATTTGAGATAAACATCGGGGGAATAATGGATAGAAATGGATAGAAATGGGAGAAGTGGCGTTTTGATACTGGTTTGAGCTTCATCTTCTTGATACATGTTGATACCACTTGCCAAGTCTTGCTAGCACCTGAAGCGAAATACTTGATCATCAAGGTACAAAACTGATCCGCTAGCAGTCAAAGTATCGAAAAGCTATCCATTTATATCCATTTATCAGCGATTGGATGCCAGGCCGGTGCCAAGACATTGCACCTCAACAGCACTCGAGTGACTGACAGCGACTCCCAGAAGGCCTTGCTGGAATACCAGGCGCAGCAAAGCTTGGAGATGGACGATTGCAATCGTTATCGTAGATTATCCTCAACGATTCCAATATTCCAATAAAATACAGTTAAGGTACATGTCTTGTTGCCAAAGGCTGGGGTACAGGTTTAATTTTTTATGAGCGCCCACACGTAAGAGGTGTCTCTGACAATCCCTGACATGAACTGATATGTCCTTTGAACTTGGACTTTGAAGCAATGACCTAAAGATGATGCTCATGTCAAGATGAATTGCTCTCACATTTTTTGTTGTCAGATGGGTTACAAGTTCTATGTTGCTTATGTTGCATGTTCATCAGCGCGTCTTGCATCTCACACCTGGCTGAATTGCGAGGATAAAATCTCTGCGGCGCAAAGCAACATGTTGGTGCTGTCCCCAGAAGTTAACGTGCGAACATGTTGTGACTGGGCAGGGTGCAAACTGAAACTTGATCCGAACATATCCGAACATTCTCAAGCCGATGAACTGAATCCAGGTGGACAACGCGTACTCCAAAACGCAGCCCAACAAAATCCTGGACTTTTCGGAAGATGTCTCGGAGGGTGACAAGAGGAGGGCCTTCCCAGGCTGCATTGATAGCAGGGTTGAATTTAATCGCGGGGCTGAAGTGCGCCAGAACACATCAGAATACCAAAGAGCACGTGGAGCTCCATGGTTCCCAAAGCAATTGAGTTTGCCATGCTTTGAATATCTTTTAATCAGATAGCATCGGATAGCTCTGTGACACCGCTCCAGGATGGCGCTGGCCATGCGTGGCGAGTTCTGCCGGCTCCATGGCAAATTTCATGGTGGGCTTTAGATGGGTTTCGGGCGCAGCAAACTTCATTTGGCATTGAAAGGATGACAGAGTGAAACCCTGATGAACTTGTGGCCAAACCATGCCAAAACCTTTCCTATTTTTCCTGCTTTTTGGGTGACGCTGGTACATCTTGGAGCGTTGCTCAGGAAATGCGGCATGAAAAACTGCAGATGTGTGGACTATTCCGTCTATGGCCAGTCGGGAAAGAAGCAACGCACAGCTTAGGTGTGGCCAAACATGTCCAAAACATGTGCAACACCGTCCAGCTTCACAAAGTTTAATGACGTTGACCGTTTACCGTTTAAATGATCATTCAAGAGTCGGGCAGATCTCATCCGAGAGCTTCCTTTGCCAGGCTGCCAGGCTGCCGATCATCTGCGTCGCCAAAAAAAAGATGTGCTGCTGGTGTAGGTTTTCTGTTGGGAAGGGATCGAACAATTGATTTAAACTGTCAAAAAATGTCAAAGCGGCTAAAATCCACGCATGAAAAGCCATACCCACAGATTGAATCATGTTGATGCGTGGATGGCTGGATGGGCAGCTAGATTTATACTGATTTATATACTGATCGATTGATGCATCTAGAAATTCAGTCAACATGAGCAGATGATTGCACCCTACTGATTCATACTGCATGAGTAACCGGCAAAATTAGCGGAAAACCAGAGTAGTAGGGAGTGGACTTGGGATGTTCAAATTTGTGTGAAAACCTTCACAACCGATAGGGGAACACCCACTTACCAACGCCCTATTCTTACATATAGCATGGAAGTACAAACCTTCACAACCGATAGGGGGCCATCCACTTTTGCGATGTCCATTGCGAGTAGTAAGTTATTTTGTCCGCCGCTCATATCATCAATCGCATGCATGCAGTTGCTGCAATGGTTAAAATGATGCGCTTCACATGGTCATGTGATGCCATGTATACACGCGTGTGCCAATGGAGCCGCACAGCAGCCTGTTAAATCAACACGTGCTAAGGTCCTGCGCTCGTCAGATCTGTCACTGAAGATGGGTGTGTCAAAAGATGTCCAATGCAAACTTGCGAATCCATGAGCAGACCGGAAAAAGAAGCTGCACATGGCTTGGGGGGACCAACAATTATATACCCGCGGCTAGCTGTTTGCCCACATAGACGAAGTCGATATATTTTCGGACAAAGAACACTTCAGTAAGCAACAGTCAATGGGTCCAGATGAGCGACATACATCGACATACCTTTTTTTTTATGAGGGCATGGGCATGTGCAAAATACCAAACGACACTGCTGGGTCAATCCAACTGTCTTCAAGTTGAGTTCCAGAATGGATTCAGATTGGAGAATGCTTTTTCTTTTCACCAGGCCCCCTGAAAGGTCTGAAATTGTGAAAGATCTTCATTTGTGGAGAAGCCTTGTTGAATGTGAAGCGGCAGCGAGTGCCAGAAAGCGAGGACTTTGACATTGGCATCGCATGTTGCATGGGAAAATGTGGGAATATGAAGCTGCATCAAAGACAAGCTGGACCAAGCTGGCTCAAAAAAGGGATGTGCACTGATAATTCATCACAACCTGAGGTGGCCAGGGAATGCAGATAGTTGTTTCACATTTGGACCGGCAACCCCGCTTTGTCTATTTTGAACCCTATGAAGCCAGAAATGGTCCGAGCAAGCGAATCCAGAGGTCAAAACCAATGCAGGATCTTTCGGCCACTGAAGCTGTAGATTTGAAGGTGCATTTCCGGAAAAGAAGCGAAACTGGTAGGGCATGACATTTGCATTGACACCCTTGACCCTCAGCGCAGCAGCCATGCCCGCTGGCTGAAAGAGCTGCCTGGGCAGATGTGGGGGAGACTCAGTCCGACAATGGCCTACATATACTTATATAATCATTATATACATAATTAATATTGTATAATATAGTACACTAATATACAATTAAATAGCAACTATAATTTAATATACATATATCATATATAGCCTATAATTAGTTACTATAGTCTTGGTTGATTGTGAGAGCTTGGAGCCTGGACCAGTTTCGCTTAAGACGAAGCCCAGTGGGACAAAGGTTGCCCATATTGCTGATGATGGCTGATGGATGCTGGGACATGTCTTCCATTTCGACGAAAGCCAGCCTTGTGGCTACATGATGCTGGATGATGCTGGATGATGCTGGATGACATTCTCAGGTTTGGCCTCAGTGGACCCCACAAGCGCGGTGCTTTGGTGCTTGCCTTAGACCTTCGCAGTTTCTGAAAAATTGGTCAGCGCCAAACCCAACCGCCCAAACTCACAACAGTTATGTAGCGAGTAGTAATGGCATTACATGAAATTAGAGCCAAGAAGTTCTTGCAAGAATTTCATGGTGTCCAAATTGTGCCATTGATGCCAGCTCCGAAGTGAGGGCCCAACCACAGAATCACGAAATGATGAAGAGGAGTCCGGGCCCTTGGAGTCGCTTTCACATGTGCCCTCCCATGCTGACCCATGCCCCACGCCCACAAAATTGCGTCAGAGCCAGACCAAACGAATCTCCACAAATCTACAGAGATCTAAGGTTTGAACCTGACTCACAGGCTAGCCGGGACTTCGAAGCTCGAAGGCTCTGGGGAGCCTCCTGATATATCTGATATCACCCGGAGCCTATCATCCTATCATCCTATCATCCTGGTTGCTTCGTATGCTTCGTTGCTGGGTAAGGTGAACTGCAGATGGATAAATTGACAGCAACTGCTTGGTGGATTCGCAGCCAGGAAGATGATCAAAGCGGGCAAGCAGTTTGAAAAGGCACCGGCAAATTGGGAGTTAGATGGGTTTCTACTGATTTTCGGGTATGTTGTTTGGAAAGGTCATTGTTTCAGTATGTTTGTGTTGGTCTTGGTCTAAATCTCCTACATTGATCTACATTGGCCTTGTCAAAGAAAAACTCATTTTGATTCATCATTTGTATTAATTTGTAGTTTTTGTTTGGTTTGTTCCTTGCGCTGTGGTTTGAATGCATCCCTCTCCGCGAACCGAAGGGAGTTGGGTTGTTTGTCTTATGGAGGGTACAGTTCTTGTTTGACAACTGGGCGGTGCGCTGTCACCAACGCAGACTCAAGTGCCTCAAGTGAATGGGCAGCAACAGCTTGACCTGTAAGCAGGTGACTACCGGCAAGTAATTGGATTAATTGGATCATGCATCATGACACCAAGCTCGCAGCCCCACTGAAACAAGCGTGAACTGAGATATTTGAGCAGAGAATCAGCCAGAAATGATGGCGACGGCAGATCAGGTTTGATGCAGCATGCAGCACCAAAACACTCTTACCAAAAACGGGCGCTTTTATTGACGGTGGAAGAGAATGTTATGAACAAATTGTGAGCCAGTGTGATTTCATAGTTGATGTTTATGAATAATTCCATGCAGAACGATGTAGTACATGCATGTAGTACATGTACTGTATGTATGTAGTACACGTATGTAGTACACGTATGTAGTACATAATTGTACACATATATATAGATAATAAAGGGCTACGCCCTCTGCCGCCGACCCCTGGACACTGGAGGGTCATGCCTGCCTCTGTGTCGTAAGCATGAAATGAACCCTAAAGAAACCAGAAACTGACTTAAACAAACCATTTGTATGAAACCTTAAATGGCATCCTAAAGGAGAGACCCGAGACGACACTCTAATAAGCTTTGATTTAAAGTTGCATACAAATGGTTTGTTACACAGAGGCAGGCATGACCCTCCAGTGTCCAGAGGTCGGCGGCAGAGGGCGTAGCCCTTTGATATGTGAAAATGAATGAACAACTCAAACATAACGCACTGCCAACTGCCACCCTGCTCTGTCCTCCTGGAGCTGGCTTTCGTTCTGCACAGCTTCGGTCTAAGCTGGAGTCCAAGGACCCTGTCGCAGGCTAAAACACCATGGCAGTGAAGGACGGATTGGGCCCGCGGCCCGTAGCCCAGACTGCCAAACGTTACTTTCTGAACCGACTAAAACTAGCTCCAAACCTTGACTTTACCTGCGTTTCTGCACTGCCAACTGCCACCTTGCTCACCTCCTGGAGCTAGCTTTCGTTCTGCACAGCTTCGGTCCAAGCCACCCTGCTCGTGTCCTCCTGGAGCTGGCTTTCGTTCTGCCCAGCTTCGGTCCAAGCTGGAGTCCAAGGACCCTGTCGCAGGGCTAAAACACCATGGCAGTGAAGGACGGATTGGGCCCGCGGCCCGTACCCCGGACTGCCCAAACGTTTCTGAATCGACTAGAAACTAGCTCCAAACCTTGACTTTACCTGCGTTTCTGCCAACTGCCACCCTGCTCGTGTCCTCCTGGAGCTGGCTTTCGTTCTGCCAGCTTCGGTCCAAGCTGGGGTCCAAGGACCCTGTCGCAGGGCTAAAACACCATGGCAGTGAAAGACGGATTGGGCCCGCGGCCCGTAGCCCAGACTGCCCAACTTTACTTTCTGAACTGAACGGACTGACTAGAAACTAGCTCCAAAACCTGACTTTCCTGCGTTCTGCACTGCAACTGCCACCCTTGCTTCGCCTCCTGGAGCTGGCTTTCGTTCTGCCCAGCTTCGGTCCAAGCTGGAGTCCAAGGACCCTGTCGCAGGGCTAAAACACCATGGCAGTGAAGGACGGATTGGGCCCGCGGCCCGTAGCCCAGACTGCCAAACGTTACTTTCTGAACTGACTAGAAACTAGCTCCAAACCTTGACTTTACCTGCGTTTCTGCACTGCCAACTGCCACCTTGCTCGCGTCCTGGAGCTGGCTTTCGTTCTGCCCAGCTTCGGTCCAAGCTGGAGTCCAAGGACCCTGCCCAGCTTCGGTCCAAGCTGGAGTCCAAGGACCCTGTCGCAGGGCTAAAACATCATGGCAGTGAAGGACGGATTGGGCCCGCGGCCCGTAGCCCAGACTGCCAAACGTTACTTTCTGAACCGACTAAAACTAGCTCCAAACCTTGACTTTACCTGCGTTTCTGCACTGCCAACTGCCACCTTGCTCGCCTCCTGGAGCTAGCTTTCGTTCTGCACAGCTTCGGTCCAAGCCACCCTGCTCGTGTCCTCCTGGAGCTGGCTTTCGTTCTGCCCAGCTTCGGTCCAAGCTGGAGTCCAAGGACCTTGTCGCAGGGCTAAAACACCATGGCAGTGAAGGACGGATTGGGCCCGCGGCCCGAACTGCCCAAACGTTACTTTCTGAATCGACTAGAAACTAGCTCCAAACCTTGACTTTACCTGCGTTTCTGCTGCCACCCTG